GTGGGGACCTGGGGAGGCCACCAGGGGGTAATGGCAGCGGGAGGAAGAGTGGCAGAGAGGAGAAATTCAAATAAAAAGTGAGGTGGCCAGCAGAGAGAACGATCCAGAAGGTAAACCTTGAGGTGGTAACGGAAGGAACAAAGACTGGGGGGGGGGGGGGGGACAGCCAGGGCCACACACTAAGCTGGATGGCCAGGCCCCAAGGGGACAGCAGGGCCTCGGGAGGCCCCCGCCCCTCCCCTCTGCAGCTTCTAAGGCCCTAGCTGGGCACCATCTGGGGGCGCTGGCCCCACTGGGTCCGCTCCCTGCCTCGAGCTCCCTCTGCTGGGGAACGGGACAGAGCCCAGCGTGCCAAGACTGCCCTCCCCCATCCCTCTGACCACAGATCCTTTGTCCTACCCAGATCTCAGCCTCTCCTCTCGATAATGGACACCCTATTCTCACTGTTACCCCACCCCCACCCCAGAGACCCCATATCTGCCTTCTGACACCAATATGGCCAGCCAGAGGGACGCAAGGCCCAAGCTGGCCACTTCTGGGAGGGCCACAGAGAGAGCTGCCTGAGTCCCACCCATCTGACTGTGGAGAGGGGGAGAGGCTGTGGTGGGGACCCTAGTGTTGGCCCCGGGGGGGGGGGGGGGATGGGAGTGCCTGCCCCGTGGGCTAGAGCATCACTCTGCATAAGACACCCCATAATTGGCAAAATTCAGAGAGTGGATTCATATTCCATATGCTACCCTCAAAAAAAAAAATATATATATATATATATATATTTTTTTTTTGGGTCCGGTCGTGGGGCCTGAACTCTGGGTCTGGGCACTGTCCCTCAGCTCTTCAGCTCAAGGCTAGCGCTCTACCACTTGAGCCACAGCGCCACTTCCGGCTTTTTTCTTTTTGCTTATGTGGTGCTGAGGAATCGAACCCAGGGCCTCAGGCATGCAAGGCAAGCGCTCTACCAGGCCACCTTCCTAGCCCCCTCAAAATATATTTTTAAAGCAACACAGAGAAAAGTGCCCTAAGAGGGATATGAACAGAAACAAATGAAATTCGTAAGTAAAACATGACCAAGGGAAAGGGGGAGAAAAAAATAACTGTGGCCACAGCGCCACTTCCACTTTTCTGGTGGTTCATTGGATATAAGAGTCTCATGGATTTTCCTGCCTGGGCTGGCTTTGAACCATGATCCTCAGATCTCAGCCTCCTGAGTAGCTAGAATGACAGGTAGGAGCCAACAGGGCGCCACTCTATCTATCTATCTATCTATCTATCTATCTATCTATCTATCTATCTGTCTGTCTGTCTGTCTGTCTGTCTATCTATCTATCTCTTCCAGCATTGGGGATAGAACCCAGGGCCTCAAACATGTTAGGCAGGTATTCCGTCCACTGAGCCATAGCCCCAGTTATTTAGGGGCTGGGGTCTCAGTGGATAGACCAAGTTAACCTGGAACTTGCTCTGTAGTTCAGGCTGGACTTGAACTCAGGTTCAAAATACTGTGCTAGCCGGGCGCTGGTGGCTCACGCCTGTAATCCTAGCTACTCAGGAGGCTGAGATCTGAGGATCGCGGTTCAAAGCCAGCCCGGGCAGGAGAGACCGTGAGACTCCTATCTCCAATAAACCACCAAAAAAACGGAAGTGGCGCTGTAGCTCAAGTGGTAGAGCGCTCGCCTTGAGCTGAAGAGCTGAGGGACAGCGCCCAGGCCCAGAGTTCAAGCTCCACGTCCGACAAAAAAAAAAAAAAATACTGTGCTAAGCAGCTCCTTTCTTTTTTCTTTTTTGCTGGTCCTGGGGCTTGAACTCTCAGCCTGGGTGCTGTCCCTGAGCCTCTTTGTGCTCAAGGCTAGCGCTCTACCACTTGAGCCACAATGCCCCTTCCAGGTTTTTCTGAGCCTTCATTGAAGATAAGTCTCACAGACTGGCCTGGCTGGCCTGGCTTTGACCTGTGATCCTCAGGCCTGGCTTAAGTGGCACCTTTCTATACCCAGTAAAGCTCACACAGATGAGTTCCTTGAGATAGCAGGGGAGATGGGGGGGGGAAATAGAGCATGCATCTGGGCTGGGAACTGAGCTCAGGCTCTCCTCCTGGGTCCCTGGCTGCTTTTCCTGTTTGTTTCCTCGAGTCTGGCCATCTACACTACTGGCCTCACCCGGAAGAGAAGACTTACAGCCAAGTCACTGCTGTGTTCAGTACCTGCCAGCCAGGGAGGGGCCTGGAGATCTTAGCTGTGACTCATTTGTCAGAGGCCAGCCTGAGGATCGCCACAGGTCTCCAATGGGGTCCACAAGTAATCCAGGGAGAAAGGTGGAGGGGAATTACAGGGTACTACACAGCCACCTGGTGGCTGTGTGACCTTGAGCTAACCACAGATGCTTGCTGCGCAGTGGCTTTTTCTGGACGCATGAGGTAACGGTGGCTTGCTGGCAATGCTGCAGAGAGGAGGCGGGGCTAACGGTGCCAGGCACAGCCTGGTGCAGCCATCCGCGCGTCTCAAAGTATGGCCTCGACACCCTGGAATCCAACATCTTGTCAAGGTTGTGGACAAGGTCACTGTTTGGGGTTTTGTTTGTTTTGTTTTCAGTACTGAGGATTGAATTAAGGGTCTCAGAGGGAAATCCCATCCTCAGTGCTTTGGTTTTTTGGTTTTCTTTCTTTCTTTCTTTCTTTCTCTCTCTCTCTCTCTCTCTCTCTTTCTTTCTTTCTTTCTCCCTCCCCCCCTCTCTTTCTTTCTTTGTTGGTGATGGTGGTGGTGGTCATGGAGCTTGAACTCTGAGCCTGGGTGCTGTCCCTCAGCTCTTCTTAGCTCAAGGCGAGCTCACTACCACCTGGGCTACAGTGCCACTACTGATTTTCTGATGGTTTATTGAAGATAAAGAGTCTCACAAACTTTGCTGCCCAGGCTGGCTTTGAACTGCCATCCTCAGATCTCAGCCTCCTGAGTAGCTAGGATTACAAGTGTGAGCTACCAGCACCCAGCTTGGTTTGTTTCCTTAAAATAAGTATCTTACCCTTTTTTTGCCCAAGGCCAGACTCCAAAACTGCCATCTATCTCTGCCTAACAAGTGACTGGGATTACAGGAAAGTAATACCACACTTGGCTACTAGTTAGTTACAACTTTAAAATAAATAAATAAATAAAAGTAAGGTCTTATTTGCCTTTCTCCTTCTAATGCCCTATGGAGTGTTCCACAGAGTTTTTCAGAAACAAGATGACCCAGGGGACAGGGACAGATCAAATGCAGAAGCGTATGTGAGCAGCCACTTTTTTCTTTTCTTTTCTCTTGTCTTTCCTTTTCTCTGTCCTTTTCTTTTTTCTTTTGTCAGTTGTAGGGCTTAAACTAAGGGCCTGGATACCATCTCTGAGCTATTTCACTCAAGGCTAGTGCTGTACCACTTTGAACCACAGTGCCACTTCCCGTTTTTACATGGCTAACTGGAGATAAGAGTCTTGGGGACTTTCCTTGCCCAGGCTGGCTTTGAACCAAGTTCCTCAGATCTTAGTCTCCTGAGTAGCTAGGATTCCAGGTGTGAGCCACCACTGCCTGGCTAAATCATATCTTCTTATGCTCCACCCTTGCTTAGTTTCCTTGTACATGGCTAGTGCCCTACCACTTGAGTCATGCCTCCAACCCAGCTTTTGGCTACTGATTTTTTGTGTGTGTGCCAGTACTGGGGCCTGAATTCAGGGTCTGGGTGTTATCTCTGAGCTTCTTTTTTTTTTTTTTAGCGGGGGGTCTGGTCGTGGGTCCTGAACTCTGGGCCTGGGCGCTGTCCCTCAGCTCTTCAGCTCAAGGCTAGCACTCTACCACTTGAGCCACAGCACCAGTTCCGGCTTTTTTTCTTTTTGCTTATGTGGTGCTGAGGAATCGAACCCAGGGCCTCATGCATGCAAGGCAAGCGCTCTACCACTGAGCCACCTTCCCAGCCCCCCTGAGCTTCTTTTGCTTAAGGCTAATACTCTACGTCTGGAGCCACAGCTCCACTTCCAGCTTTTTTTTTTTTTTTGTAATTTATTGGGGATAAGAATCTCATGGAAGGGCTGGGAAGGTGGCTCAGTGGTAGAGTGCTTGCCTTTCATTCATGAGGCCGTGGGTTTGATTCCTCAGCACAATATGAGCAGAAAAAGCTGGAAGTGGCGCTGTAGCTCAAGTGGTAGAGCACTCGCCTTGAGCTGAAGAGCTGAAGGACAGCACCCAGTCCCAGAATTCAAGCCCCACGACCCACCAAAAGAAAAAAAAACAAAGAAAAAAGAATCTCATGGACTTCCCTGCCTGGTCTGGCTTTGAACCTAGATCTTCAGATCTCAGCCTCCTGGGTAACCAGGATTACAGGAGTGAGTCACCAGCACCCGGCTCTTGCTTGACTTTTTCTGCTCAAGGCTGGTGTCCTACTACTTGGGACACAGCTTTATTTCTAGCTCAGCATTTTTATTTTCTGGTTAATTGGAGTCTCAATGACTTTCCTACCTCTGATCCTTCATTTCTTCAAACAAAAGGTACCAGGATCTAGAGAGAGCTTCAGTGTGCTGATTATGTATCTACTGCTCCTTGGCTCCTCTTAATTAATTAATTTGTGTCGGTACTGGGCTTGGAACTCAGGGCCTAGGTACTATCCCTGAGCTTTTGTGCTCAAGGCTAGCACTCTACGACTTGAGCCACAGCTCCACTTTGGCTTTTTGGTTTTTGATGGTTCATTGGAGATAAGAGTCTCACAGACTTTCCTACCTGAGCTGGCTTTGAACTGCGATCCTCAGATCTCAGCCTCCTGAGTATCTAGGATGACAGGTATGGGCCACCGGCGCCCAGCTTCCTTTCCATGCCCTGTGCCCTGTGAGTAGTGACTGCTTCTAACAGTTATTACTAGCAAATACTGCCTCAGTATTCCTTTTGTGCTCTTCCAGCTCTTCCACAAGCTTGAAATAAATCCCAGCATTAAATCCCTTCAGGTTGAAATACTTTGGTCAGGGGGTGGGTGGAACCTGAACATCCCCAGCCATCCATACCTGCAGCTTCTTGAGTTGGCTGTTAACAGTGGCCAGGTCCCCACCAGGATCCACATCCTGCAGTTGACTTTCCATGTGAAGAAGTTTCTTATCCAGCTCTGCGAAACTCTGCACAAGTTGGTCTGCTTTGCTGGCCTCAAAGAGCTGCCGGGCCTTGGCCTGGGTGGTGCTCTCCAGCTCGGCCCAGCATTGCCGGATCTCACCCAGCTTCTTCCTCACAGAAGCCGCCAGCTCCGGCTTTTCCTGAATCAGTTGCTGGCCTTCCTGCGGCAGTGGTAGAGGGCAGGAAGTGAGGAAGAAGAGGCGGGCAGAATGGAGAGATAGAAGAGAGTGATCAAGAGGCAAAGAATGAATTTCCATTTAACTCCTAGTCCAGAAAACTGGACTTGGCTCTATGCTACCATTTATGAGGTACCAATGGCTATTTCAAGGTATAAGGACAATCTCCATCTCTTCATCTGAGGAAGAAGATTGGGGGTTTCCAGGGCTTGCAGGTCTAGGGGTTCAGGCAGAGTAAGGGTAGTTTTTTTTGTGTGTGTGAGAATACTGTACAGAGGAGTTACAATTACATGGGCAGTAAGGGTAGTTTGGGGAGTTGGATCATAAGTAATTCTCTATCTGGATGCCTCCAAAATGGTGATCCAGTACTTTGGTAGCCCAAAGCCACATGGATCTTAAATATTAAAAATACTACCACAAGCCGGGTGCTGATGGCTCACAACTGGAGTCTTAGCTAGTCAGGAGGCTGAGATCTGAGGATCACAGGTTGTTTTTTTTTCTTCTAGTCCTGGGCTTGAACTCAGAGCCTGGTCTCTATGCCCAACACTCTCTGTGCTCAAGGGTAGCGCTCTACCACTTGAGTCACAGACCACTTCCACTTTTTTTGTTGTTTATGTGATGCTGAGGAATGGAACCCAGGGTTTTATACATGCTAGACAAGCACTCTACCACTAAGCCACATTCCTAGCCTGGGGAGATCAATCTTAGAGGCTCTTATCTCCAATTAACCAGGGAAAAGAGAGAGAGAGAGAGAGGGAGGATGAGGGGAGAGGATGAGGCTCTGAGTTCAAGCCTCAGGAGGTGGAAGAATTCACAAACAGAATGCATCATTTAGAAGAGAGGCTGGCCATTTTGCAGGTAGGTGGGTAAACTGAGGCTCAAAGAGGTTGCACTGCTAGGAGGACACAGAGCTGGCTTGAACCAGTTCAGGGCTGCAAGGTCAGCAGGATGGCCACGGAGAGGCATGGGAAATGAGGCAGAGGGGCCTTCGGGATCCTCACCCTCTCGATCTTCTCCAGCCACTCCTTATTCTGAGCCAGCTCAGCCATGAATGCCTGGTGCCGGAGCCATCTCTTGTGAAGCTTGTGGCCATCTTCACGTGTGCCGTCCCTCGCCATCAGCATTTTCTCGTGGATCCAGCCATCCAGCTGTGCAGGGCATGGCAGGATGCTTCAGCCACCCCCACCCCCACCCCATCTCAGTCTTTACAGGAAACCCCATTTGTCAGATCCTGGGCTGTTGAGGTGGGGGGGGGGGGGAGGGTTGGGAGAGCAGGTGGCTGAACCATCCAAACGAGGTAGAGATGGGCAAATCTTTGCAAGGGAGGCCTTTACATTGGTGGTGGGTGGGTGGGTGGAGAGGGACAAACTCAAGCTATGTCCTCTGTAGAATATGTATGGAAAGTTCCCCAAATACTAGCAAATCCTTCAGTTCACCTGTCCTGAGACTGGACAAGTCTCCACGCAAGACCAGGGGCATGTTCAGCACCAAAACAAGCTCTCCAAACAAATCTAGCAAACTCCCAATTCAGCTCCCAGCCCCAAGCTTAGACCTATCAATTCAGTCGCCTGCTCCCCTACCTAAGGATTGGTTCAAGATCTTCACCCTTTTCTAATATACTCACTCCACCTAACTCCAGCACTCACACCAACGCAGCCAGATTGAACTCCAATAGCCCCCCATCTAATGCAGACCCAATCCTACACAACTGAATTCGTGTTCTCCCCAAGAGGAACCCATAGGGCTCCCTAAATCCAGCCCGTAGTTCCCCAAACTATGATCAGCTTAAATTCCCAATCAAAGCTAATCCTTTTGCACCTTTACCCCAAAAAATGAGAGCATCAAGGCTGCCTTCTTGCTCCCCGAACCAGCCAAGCCCCCCAAAATCCAGCCCTAGACTCTCCAAGGTAAATTAAACCAAACCTCTCTCACACTCTGCTCCCCAAACAGAAACCAGCAACAAAACCATTCAAAATGTAATCACGCCATCAGCTCAATTCCCTGCACACAGGACCAGGGGTTTTCCGAGACCTTCTCCAAGAAAATAAATAAATAAAAATAAAAGGCAAGACAGGACGCTGCCCCCCCCCCCCAAGCTACAACCTCTTTGCTATGGCCAGACCTGACACCTGAGACAAGCTTGCTCCTCCTCCTCTTCCCCCCCCCCATCTAGTCATAAGATCCTCCTCCTCCCCCCCCCAGAGAGAGAGAGAGAGAGAGAGAGAGAGAAACACCACGGACTCCAACACCACGGTCCCCGGAGGCAGATGCTGTCATACCGAAGGACAGTTCCCAAGCTGGCCAGGCCCCACCCCGCACCCCTTAAGTATTTGCTCCCCAGGGACATACACACACACACACACACACACACACACACACACACACACACACACACACACAGAGGCACACACAAATGCCCAGTCCCCAGATCAATCAATCCCCAGCTGCCCCAACGCAGGGCAGAGTTCCCTGGCAGCCAGAGCCCACGGCGAAGGCAAAGCGCCCCCCAAGGAGGAGACGGTACCGGTCCTCCAGGTAACGACCTCCCCCCCCCAAAAAAAGTAATTACCACCTCTTATCACTGCGGATAAAGCCGAACTCCCCAACGACCAAGACACCCCAAGTCAGTCACCCTCCCCTCCAAACACAGATTCAATCCGCGAACCCTATCGCCAAGAGCAGAGGCCCCCGCAAAAGTGATTCACCCCCCCATCACCCGCAGCTGACACAGACCCCCCGCCAGAACCCCAGAAGATGGACAACCCCACGGCAAACCTCACATCGCCCTCCTGACCCAGAGCAGAGACCCCCCCCAGAGGCTGAGCCCCCAAAGATAAGCGGACTCCCCTAGGAGGAGGTCTGTTAAGTGGCCCCCGTCCCCTCCCTCTCCTGGGGGACCCCCTCCTTCCCCCCCTCCCCGCTCCCCAAGTCCCGCCCGCGCCCGCGCCGCCCCGCGCCAGCACCGCGGACAGCTCTCGGCGCCCTCGCCCCTCCCCCAGGGCGGGGGTCCCCGCCGCGGCCCCGCCCGCCCCCGCCCGCCCCCCGCCCCGCCCGCGGGCGCGCGCGCCGCCCCCTCCCCCCCGCACCCCGGCGCCCCCGAGACCTGGCGGCGGCGGCGGCGGCGGCGGCGGCGGGGAGTCCGCGGCGGGGACGCGGGGCCGGCGGCGGGGACGGCGGCGGAGCTGCGGCGGGCGCGCGCCCCCTCCCTCCTCGCCCCCGCGCCGCGGACGCGCGCCCGCCCGCGCGCGCGCCTTCCCCCCCCCACCCCGGCCTCCGGGCCCGCCTCCATGCGGGTGGGGGGGGGCGGGGGAGGAGGCCCTAATTGGGGTGAAGGAGGACTCACCACTCCCCCTGACGCTGGGGGGAGGGAGGGGATTTTGAGCCGGCTCCCGTGGGGACCTCTGGGTCTAGGACACTCTCCCGTCTCAGGAGTGGGGTGGGGGGGCGCACTGGACCAAATACAATGGCGAGGGTGGGGGGGAACCTGAGCCCCGGGGTGGGGAGGACTCGGGGAGATGCGAGGCACCCCCTGAGGCATCTCTAACGGGAAGAGGCTCAGGTTTCTGGCGGTCCAGATGGAGGAAGGAAATAGGGGACGGGGACCTGGAACATCTGTTGTAATACTCCAGGACCGTCTGCGGGGCGGGGGCGCGCAGGACAACCATCCCCGCTGGGCTCGCGGCCTGGCCTAGCCACCTGCGCGTGGAGGAGGGTGGGGTGCGGAGATCCCCTCGTCCATGGCGTGTTTGGGGGTTCCCTGTGGAACTATCGTTAGTTGGGGTGGGAGGAGAACAAGGACCTGACTCCAAAGCCATCTCTGGTTCATCATGCGGATCCAGGGCGGAGGAGGGGCTCAGATGGAGGATGGGGGGGAAGGGAAGGGGCTCAGGTGGAGGATGGGGGGGGAAGGGGCTCAGGTGGAGGATCTGGGGGGAAGAGGCCCAGATGGAGGATGGAGGGAAGGGGTTCAGGTGGAAGATCTGGGAAGAAGGGGCTCAGATGGAGGGTCTGGGAAGAAGGAGCTCAGGTGGAGGATCTGGGGCTCAGGTGGAGGATCTGGGGGGGAAGGGGCTCAGATGGAAGATCTTTGGGGCTAGGATTGTCTCTCTTTAGAGGTTAGGGAAATACTGGGCCGTAACTAATGTGAGCAGAGTCTACCACAGTTCTAGAAGGAAGGGGAAGCAGCCAGTCTCCTGACTCGTCATCTCTGATAGGGACCCGGCCTTAGGTGTGTGTGTAGAAGACATTACATTCCAGGACGCTTTTAGAGTTGTGGGGAGGGGGCCCAAAGTTTGAGTCAAGGTCCACCCCCAACTGTCCAAAACCCCACCCCCACTCTCTGGAGCTCCTGGAACAGATCGCTTTTCTCAGACCTCTAGAGAGGTGAGATCGGTGCTCGTCCCCGCGGGACCCGTAGGCGCGGGCGCGCGCCGTTGCCAGGGGCGCCCGGGCCCCACCCCTATACCCTGGAGCCGGCGTGGGCGGGCCAGCGCCGCGGGGCATGCGCACTGAGACCGGGCTCCCGCGCGCCCCCTGGTGGCGCAGGGGGAGCATCGCTCCACGACCCACTTGGATGGGGCGTCCCCACCCCCACCCACCTCTGCCACGGAGCAAGTCCCTCCCCAGGAAAGGGGACACCACTGCCCCCCTTCCCTGCCAGGCCCCCGGGGGCCCAGCTGGAGGTCCTACCTCATGGCAGTCTCGGAGGAAGTGCTGCAGTCCAAGCTGGTCGTATAGCTTCTGCATCCACTGCTGGGCTCTTAATTGGTTTTCTTGGCTCCTAGGGATGGGAGAGGGAAGGGTTGGGAGAAACCCTGGTGGGGAGACGCAAAAATTTAAGAGGAGGAGGGGGAAGGGGAAGAAAGGGTGGAGGAGGAGGTGGGACAGAGGCAGGGGCTGTACTGCAGAGAGACAGAGACAGAGAATTAGACAAATCTGGAGAGACAGAGGTAATGAAAATAAAACAGGTGCCTCACACCTGTAATCTTAGCTATTCAGAAGACTGCGATCTGAGGATCATGGTTCAAAGCTAACCTGGGCAGGAAGGTCTATCCAATATACTACTCAAAAGCCAGTAACAGTGCTGTGGCTCAAAATGGTAGAGCACTAGCCTTGAGCACAAACACTCAGAAATGGTGCTCAGGCCCTCAGTTTAAGCCCCAGGACTGGTATGCACGTATACACACACAGACACACAGAACACAGACACACACACAGACAGACAGACACACACACACACACACACACACACACACACACATAATCAGGGGGAAAAGAGAGTCAAAATAAATTAAGCAAAAATGGAAAAAAAAAAGAGAGTCAAGCCCAGAGATAATACAGAACTAAAGATAAAGTAAAAGATACTCAGAGACTAAAACTAAGTAAAAAAAGGAGAGAGGTGGAGGGGGGGGTAAAAAGAGCCTGACGTATTAATATAGAGACACAGACACATAAACATGGCCAGAGACCTCAAGAGAGAAATATTGACAGAGACCCATAGGGGTACAAAGACAAGGAAAGAGGTGGAGGAGAAAGAGAAACAGACAGCTAGGGAATGTGGTAGTAGAACACTTGTGTAGTACCTGGTAAATCCAGAAGGAGGAGGAGGAGGAGGAGGAGGAGGAGGAGGAGGAGGAGGAGGAGGAGGAGGGGGGGGGGGGAAGAAGAGGAGGAGGAGGGGGGAGGGAGAAGGGGAGGAGATGGATGGCTCACACCTGTAATCTTTTCTTTTTTTTCTTTTTTTCTTTTTTTTTTTTTTGTCGTGGGCCTGAACTCTGGGCCTGGGTGCTGTCCCTCAGCTCAAGGCTAGCGCTCTACCACTTGAGCCACAGCACCACTTCTGGCTTTTTCTGCTTATGTGGTGCTGAGGAATCAAACCCAGGGCCTCATACATGCAAGGCAAGCACTCTACCACTGAGCCACCTTCCCAGCCCCTCACACCTGTAATCTTAACTACTTAGGAGGCAGATCTGTGGCTCTCAGTTCAAAGTCAGCCTGGGTGGGAAAAATCCACAAACTCTTATCTCCAATGAACCACCAAAAAAAGATAGAAGTAGAAATGTGGCTCAGGTGGTAGAGTGATAGCCTTAAGCACATAATGGTCAGGCACAGTGTCCAGGCCCTGAGTTCAAGCCCCAGTAGCAGCACATCTGCACAAAGAGAAGCAGTTTCAGACAATGAAAGAGAGGGGAAGAGGGAGGGAAGTGACGGAGGAAGTTGGGAGACCCCAGTTAGGGACAGGCAGAGAGACGGTCAGATGCCACCAGGGAGTCAGTCTGATAGACAGACAGGGGATGGCAGAAATGCAAAGAGAGAAGAGAGAGATGGCATTGGAGCACAGGGAGGCAGGATGATGCCCCCACAGGGCATAGGGAGGTGGGGGGGGGCAGGTGTTGGCCTGAGAACACTTAGCAGGCTGGACCCAGGCCCAGACATCCATCTCCAGTCAGCCTGGCCTCTGCTCACAGTGTAGGCTCAGGTTTCTAAAAGGTATGGGTCCCACATTGGCATGAGCGCATGTCTGTCCCTGTCCCCCTCCATGTGAGGACCTACTTCTCCAGCAGCCGGGTCACAGCGTCCTGGGCCTGCTCCCCGTAGACGTTGCCCTGCCGCAGCAGGCCCTCGGCAGCCTGCACCGCCACCTGCATCTTTTGCTGGTTCAGCTCCATCGTGGTGAGAAAATCCCTGTGTCTTTTTATGGCTTCTTCTACAGACTCTACCGTGCCTGGGAGCTCTGCGCTGGACAGCGCCACCTCCTGGGAATGAAAGGGAACACAGGTCAGCTTCCTCCAGCTCCAGCTACCATCCAAGGACTCTTCCCATTCCCCTTTCCTGGGTTCAAGTGCATCACGCCAGAAATGGCCTTACCTCAAGGCCTTTGCTCATGCTTGAATGCTCTGTCTGACCTCTAGATAGCACCAGGGCGGCCTCCTCTCTTTTTCAAGTCTCTGAAACTTACCAGTCTCTGCCAAAGTAGCGAGTATATCCTTCAACTGCACTTGGTGCCCATAGCGTATACCTGCTGTCAGCGCTTGATTTTGCCTTGGTTTTTAGCTTTGTGTGTGTATGTGTGTGTATGCTGGTACTAGGGGCTTGATCTCAGGGCCTTACACTCTTGCTTGGCTTTTTCCACTCAAGGCTGGTGATCTACCACTTGAGCCACAGATCCACTTATGGCTGTGTATGTGTGTGTGTGTGTGAGAGAGAGAGAGAGAGAGAGAGAGAGGAAGAGAGATTCATTGGAGATAAGAGTCTCAAGGACTTTCCCATCCAGGCTAGGTTTGAACAGGTGATCCTCAGATCTCAGCCCCCTGAGCAGCTAGGATTACAGGCGTGAGCCACCAGCGCCCAGCTAAACTGAAAGTTTCTTTCCTTTTTTTTTTTTTTTTTGCCAGTCCTAGAGCTTGAACTCAGGGCCTGGGCACTGTCTCTGAGCTCATGTCTCTTTTGCTCATGGTTAGCACTCTACCACTTGAGCCACAGCACCACTTCTGACTTTTTCTGTGTATGTGGTACTGAGGAATCGAACCCAGGGCTTCATGCATGCTAGGCAAGCACTCTACCACTAAGCCATATTCCCAGACCTCCCCCCTTTTTTTGCCAGTCCTGGGGCACTGTCCCTGAGCTTCCTTTGCTCAAGACGAGCACTCTACCACTTGAACCACAGTGCCACTTCTAGATTTTTCTGAGGAATTGAACCCAGGGCTTTATGCGTGCTAAGCAAGCACTGTACCACTAAGCCACCTTCCCAGCCCCTGAACTGAGGCTTTCTATCCTCTAAATTCTTATATTTGGTTCCCTTCCCAGAATGATCTGGAAATTAGATCACGCACTTAGATCACTTCCCACCGTCCCCACAGGGGGCCCAGGACCCCCACCCACGCCAGCCTCATACCCCCTGCGAGTTGGCACCTGATTGCGCAGCACAGCGAGCGCCTGGCACAAGTCACGCAGGAAGAGCTGATAGACGTGGGCCTGAACCAGGGCCTCCCGGCGCGCCTCCCACAAGCCGAGCAGTTTGTGCCAGCCAATTTCCAGGTGTGGGAGCCACTCATCAAGAGCCAGGCCCGGGCCCAGCTCGGCGCCATCGGCCGCCAACAGCGCCTCGCTGGCCGCCACGATGCGCGCGTAATCCTCCTCGCGCTGACCCACTTCCTCCTTGAGGGCAGCGTGGCGCGCCAGCAGCGCATCGGCCTCTTCCAGGCTGCTGGGCAGGGGCCCCTCGCTGCCCCCCGCTGCCTCCTGGGCACGCACCAGCCAGTCCAGGAAAGCATCCAGGTCGTGCAGGAAACGCTGCAGCCGCCCGGCCGCCGCCACCGCCTCGCCGCAGGCTTGGGCCGAGCTCGCCAAGGCGCCCCACTCGGTCCCCAGCTCCTGGGCGCCCTGGTGCAGCCGCGCCGCCTGCGCCGGGAAGCGCTCGGCCAGCAGGGACGCCTCCTCCAGGAGGGCCGCCTGGCGTGGCTCCAGCGCTTGCAAAGCCGCCTCTAGGCCACTCAGGCGCCACTGCAAGGCGCCGCCGGCCCGGGGTGCGCTCTCCACCGCCCGCCGCTTCTCCCGCACCTGGGCGCGCACCTCCGCCACCTCCAGCACGTGGTTCTCCACCAGCAGCACCGCGCTCACCTCCTCTTTGCGCTGCTCCACCAGCTCCACAATGCGGTTCCACCTGCCCAGGGGAAAGAGAGCAACGGGAGGGCAGGGGCTCGGCTTATACAGGGAGGGGCCCTCCCCTCAGCCCCACCCATCCATCCCGGAGAGAAGCCAGGCCACGGGCCCGGACTTGGAAAAGACCCGTTAGCCTGTTAAAATGGAGCCCCATCCAGCACACAGCTTCGAGCAAACAGGTCCTGGATGTAGGGCAAGCCAGACACTGGTAGCGCAAGCCTGTAATCCAAGCAACTAAGGAGGCTCAGATCTGAGGATGGCTGTTTGGAGCCAGGGGAGGGGGGGAATATTTTGAAGCCAGCTGGGGGTGGGGGGCAGAGATATTGATCTCCTGTTAACCAGCAAAAAGCCAGAGGTGGAGCTGTGGTTCAAGTGGTAGAGCACCAGCCTTGAGTGAAAAAGCTCAGGGACAGCACCCAGGTGCTGAGTTCAAGCCCCAGTATTGGCACACATGCTCTCTCTCTTTCTCTCTCTCTCTCTCTCTCTCTCTCTCACACACACACACACACACACACACACACACACAATTTATGAGCTCTACACACAGTGAACATTCAGGAAGTGTTTTAAGAAGAAAGAAACCAGTTGGAGCTGGTTGCCGGTGGCTCACGCCTGTCATCCTAGCTACTCGGGAGGCTGAGATCTGAGGACTGTGATTTGAAGCCAGCCCAGGCACAGAAGTTCCCATGAGAGCCATCTACATTCACTCAAAACTTGGAAATAGCACTGTGGCTCAAGTGTTAGAATGCCAGCCTTGAGCACAAAGGCGAACAGGGACAGTGCTCAGGCTCTGAGTTCAAACCCCACAAGAAAGAGGAGGAGGAGAAGATGGAGGACGAGGAGATGGAAGAAAAGTCGAAGGGGGAGGCTACCAATTTGCTACAATTTGGTTTGATTATCATGGTGGTTGAATATGAAGAGAAAGATGGGGAAAAACCAGTGTACGATACCAGGAAGAACTTCCAGGCCCAGTCCCCATTTACCTGCTGTTGAGGTGGTCCTGGCAAGAGCGCACCTCATCTGAACTGGGGTGACCTCCTTCCACGAGCTCTTGGACCGTGTGGTTCACATCCAGGACGCGGCTCATGAAACTATTCATCTCCTGGTCTAGGCTCTCGAATCTGAAAAAGAGGATGGAGATGCTCATGGGTCAGACTTCTGGAGCCCTGCCCTGAGTCTTGATTCACTTCCTCTTTCCTGGCTCTGGTCCTACCTTTCCAGCTATTTCCCAGAATCCTTTGCCAGTTCCTTCTCTTTGATTGACTACAGACATGTTTGGTTGCTTAAGTACCCCATCCTGAGTCTATGGACTGTCCATCACACCCTCCCTGGCCCATCTCACCCACCCCCCACATCTTCAGACCCCACACCTCGAACTCCTGACCACCAGTCACAATTCAGTCACCAGCCTAAACTCCTTTTTGATCTACCTCTAACCTTAAAGCTTGCTATACATTTCCTTGGGGCTCTCATGGCCATTGTGACTCTGCCCTGGCCTTCCTCTGCATTCCCCACCATCTTCCAAGATTAACTGACCCCCTTGGGCCTTGATTAGCACCTCGATCCCAGTCCATTAGCCCCCAGGCCAGGGCCAGTTTACTTGGACTCTTTTATTTTATTTATTTTTTGGTTATGGGGCTTGAACTCTGGGCCTGAGTGCTGTCCCTTAGCTCTTCAGCTCAAGGCTAGCGCTCTACCATTTGAGCCACAGCGCCACTTCCAGTTTTCTGGTTTTATTAGAAATAAGAGTCTCATGGACTTTTCTACTGGGCTGGCTTTGAACCACAATCCTCAGATCTCAGCCTCCTGAGTAAGCTAGGATTACAGGCATGAGCCATTGGCACCTGGCTTTGTACTCTTAACTATAGTTCAAGCCTATCTCCTTCCAACCCGAGACCCCAACCTAACTGCCTCTCTAAATTTCCAGCTGTTTCTTGCTCCAACTTGCCCCACCACATGGCATGCCAAGGGACTGAGCATGGTCTGCTCTTGTAAAAAAAAAAAAATGTAGGGCTGGGAAGGTGGCTCAGTGGTGGAGTGCTTGCCTTGCATGCCTGAGGCCCTGGGTTCGACTCCTCAGCACCACATAAGCAAAAAGAAAAAAAAGCCGGAAGTGGCACTGTGGCTCAAGTGGTAGAGCTCTAGCCTTGAGCTGAAGAGCTGAGGGACAGCGCCCAGGCCCAGAGTTCAGGCCCCACGACCGGACCCCCCCAAAAAAATGTATAAAACAATTGTGAGCACAGTTATTCAAGCCCCGCTCTGGAACTGGAGATGAATTCAGAAAAATCTCTGTGCATGCATGCATGGATGAATGTATGGATAAGATGCTAGGGTGGGGGTAGGTAGAGGACAGACGTCCACCCATTAATTTAACACTTGGGCTTAGGTCAGGCCACAGACAACTTGGTGCATGATACATGGAGCAGGAAGGTGGGAAGTAAATGTAAAGCAGGCGAGGGACAAGAGGTGGAGATAGGGGTGGGAAGGTGGCTCAGTGGTAGAGCGCTTGCCTTGTAATGCATGAGGCCCTGGGTTCGATTCCTCAGCACCACATAAGCAAAAAGAAAAAAAGCCGGAAGTGGCGCTGGTGCTCAAGTGGTAGAGCGCTAGCCTTGAGCTGAAGAGCTGAGGGACAGTGCCCAGGCCCAGAGTTCAGGCCCCACAACTGGACCCCCCCCCAAAAAAAGAGGTGGAGATAGCATTGCTACAGGGTGGGGGGCTTGAGCGGCAGCCTAGGCTGGGCTGTCTGTGAGTAACTTTGGCTGGGATGAAGATAAATTCATGGGGAATGCTTGTAGTACCCCTAGGGAACTTGTTAAGTGTCTCACACCTACTAACATTTCTTTCCGTCCTTCTTTCTTTCCTTCTTGCCTGCCTGCCTTATTTCCTCCTTCCTTCTTGTGTGCCAGTACTAGGGCTGGAACTCTGGGTTTCACACCTTCCCTTGGCTTTTTCCCTTAAGCCTGGTGCTCTACCACTTGAGCCATACCTCCACTTCTGGCTTTTTGCTGGTTAATTGGAGGTAAAAGTCTCAAGGACTTTCCTGCCCAAGGCTGACTTTGAACATGTGATTCTCAAAGCTCAACCTCCTGAGTAGCTGGGATCACAGGCTTGAGCCACCAGCGCACTCCCTCCCTCCTGAGTTCATTTTATGTTCCTACCAGTTTGTGGAACTGTCCCCCCCCCCCCCCACTCTGTCCCTCAGCTCTTCCACTCAAGGCGAGCACTCTACCACTTGAGCCACAGCGCCATTTCCGGTTTTCTGGTGGTTACTTGGAGATAAGAGTCTCATGGCCTTTCCTGCCGGGGCTGGCTTTGAACCGCGATCCTCAGATCTCAGCCTCCCGAGTAGCTAGGATGACAGGTGTGAGCCTCCGGCGCCCAGCTTTCCTCCCCATTTTACAGATGGGCAAAATGAGAAGTTCAGAGAGGTTGGACAAACTCCAGATCGTCACAAAGCCCATTAAGGATGAGCCTGGGGACTGAGCAAAGCATCCGGAGGCTGGGGGACCCCCCCCAACCCTGCCACCCCAGAGCGCGCGCTCACCGGTGCTGCACCACCTCGACGTCGTCCAGGGAGTCGGGCACGCGCATGGCGAGCAGCCACTGCTCCTTCTCGCCGATCCACAGCTCGCACGCGTGCACCTCGCCGAACATGCGGTACACGGCAAGCGCGTCCCGCAGCCACTGGCGCCGCAGCGCCGCCACCTCGGCCACCTCGGCGAACAGCTGCTCGGCCTCCACCACGCGCACCTGCAGCGCCACCACCAGCGGCCCCGCGCCGCTCGCGCCCCCTAGCGTCGCCAGCTGGCGGCGCAGGCTGCCCACGGGCCCGCGGTGCGCTTCCACCTCCCCGGTGAGCGCGCGGTGCTGGCGCGCCAGGCGCCGGCTGGACGCTTCGTCGTGGCCGAAATCCCCGGCGGCTGCCAGACGGTAAGCATCGCGAAGCCAATCGAGGAGCCCGTCCAGGTCGGCTCCGAACTGGTGCAGGGCCCGCGCCTCCTGCAGCCGCCGCTCCCGCCGCGCCGCCGCCTCTTCCAGGCGTTGCCAACGGCGCCGGGCGCTCGCCGCGCGCTCCGCCAAACCCGCCAGCTGCACGGCGTCGGCGCCGGAGCCCAGATCGGGGCCGCCGCCGGCCGCCGCCAGCTCCTCGCCCCGCCGCAGGGCCTGCTGCAGCAGCGCCCGCCGCCCGCCCAGCTCGCCCTGCAGGATCTTGTGCTGGGCCAGCAGGCGTGCGGTGCTGGACAGGTCGTGCGCGCCCCCCCGCCGCCGGCCCCGCCGCGCCCCCCCGCCGCCGGCCCCGCCGCGGCCCCCGCCGCCGCCTCCAGGAGCCGCTCCTTGTCCCGGGCCCAGCTCTCCGCCTCCTCCAGCTCCTGCAGCAGCGCCCACAGCCTCCGCGACGCCTCCAGCTCCCCGCGCCGTCGGGCCGCCTGCGCCTGCAGCTCCGCCAGGCAGCCATGCACGTGGTTCACGCGATTGCAGATGACCTGCGGGTCGCAAGGCTGGTAGCCTGGGCCAGGAGAAGGAGAGGATGGAGTTGGGTATGGACCTCCGAGAGAAGATGATGCTCACGTTACTTATCCAGACCTCCTTTCCATCCCATTAGAAGCTGTCCCTTCTCCAAGGCCCACGAGGTAAGAGAAAGGAAGATCATTTAGAAAATCTTTGTGGCTGAGTGTTCCCCCCACCCCACCCCGTGGCTCACGCCTGTAATCCCAGCTACTCCGGAAGCTGAGACCTGAGGATCGCAGATCAAAGACAAGTCCAAGCACTAAAGACTGTGAGATTCCTATCTCCAATGAATCAGCAAAGAGCCAGAAGTGGAGGTATGTGTGTGGCTAAGGTGGTGGAACTCCAGCCTTGAGCAAAATAGATAAAAGGACAACATTCAGGCCCTAAGTTCAAGCCCCATACCCACACATACGCACAAAAATAATTAATACAGCCAGGCACCAGTGGCTCACACCTGTAATCCTAGCCACTCAGGAAGCTGAGATCCAAGGATCACAGAGTGAAGCCAGCCCAGGCAGACAGATCCATGAGACTCTTATTTCCAGCCAAGAGCCAGAACTGGAGTGCATGTGGCTCAAGTAGTAGAGCACCATCTTTGAGTGAGAAAGCTAAGGGACAGTGCTCAAACCCAAAGTTCAAGCCCAGTACTAGCATATACACACAAAATAAGCAATTACTATGTACATTCAATCATGTAATTTCCTCTCATTCCTATCCAAAACACCCACTGCATTGACCCATCTCCTCACCTAAGCCAGCACCAAATCCTACCAACAAGTCCTTTTGCAAGTTTTGTGGGGTGTTTTGGTATACCAGGGATTAAACTCTGGGCCAAAACAAATGTCTTGCCAAACAAATGTCTACCACTTGAACCATGACACCAGCCCTTTATGTTTTATGCTGTTTCTGACAGAGTCTTACACTTTTGCCTGGGCAAGATTGAGATGGTGATTCTCCTACCTCTACCTCCTGAGTAACCGAGATTACAAGCATATACCATCACACTCAGCCTTCTTGTAATGATTCTTACTGACAGGCTGTGTGGTGTCCCAAGTATGCCATAGCCAACCAATCCACCTTGGTTGGATTATAGAGAGCTTCCTGGCGTTCTCTGACTGATGGGCATTGGCTTCAGTAAATAGGAACCTTCTAGATGCCATCTTAGTTTTGTCTATCAGCATCCATGCTCTGCTTTCGAGACTTCTTCCTGATTTTCTCAGTCAGGGGTCTGACACTCTTCTTAGCCCTGGAACGGGCAGACATGTCACATAGATATAGGCCAATGAAAGCCTTGCATGTCCTGGTGCCACATGATTGGCTGAGCAATGAAGATGGAAAACACAGTGGGCCAATGAAATCCTTCCTTGGACCTTTTGGCAGAACTACTTGAGAGAAAGGGGAACTGTTCTCCTTCTGGGTGTGTTAAGTGGTTGGGATGTTGTGGATACAAGGACGAAGCATCCCCAGTTTTTCACCACAAGGGGAGGAACTGACTGACAGTGACACTAACATAGACACTTGAAACAGAGAGAGACTAAGTCTTGAAAGCATTATAGAACCACATGCCTCCCTAGTCATTTACATAGACTAATATACTTCTCTTGACTCCTTCATATAGAGTGCATTGAGTTTCTATCCATTACTTTCAAACAGGTCTTGACTGAACAGGTCTTGACTAGGTATTATCCAACAGGTCTTGATTAGGTATTATCTTTGGGGGGGGGGTGACTTTTTTTTCTGGTTCTGGGGCTTGAACTCTAGGCCTGGACACTGTCCTTGTGCTCTTTTTGCTCAAGGCTAGCACTCTACCACTTTAGCCACAGCTCCACTTCCAGTTTTCTGGTGGTTCATTGGAGACTCTCAGGGATTTTCCTGCCTGAGCTGGCTTTGAACCATGATTCTCAGATCTCAGCCTCCTGAGTAGCTAGGGTGACAGGCGTGAGCCACCAGTGCCCAGCATGTTGTATTTTTAGTGGTGTTCACTGGGATGGACCTGGGAAAGGCTGAGCCCTTAAATGCTCAATAAATATGGGCTATTTACTGTAGAATCTCAAAGCAGGAAGGGGTCAGGGGGGCTAACCTCTCTCCAAAATTTCCTAATGAACATGAGATCCTAGTCACAGGGTTGGAGGCATGGCTCAGTTGGTAGAGCTCCAGCCAATGAGTGAAAGCAGCAGGTACTGAGTTCGAGTCCCAGTCTTGGACAGAAATGGAAAAGAAAAGAGAACCTAGTCCCTGCTTACATGTCTCCACAGACAAGGCTCTCACTCTCTTCCATCTGTCAGGAATCCTCCTCACCTCCATCAGTGCCAATCCTCAGACACCTCAACTCACCCCTCCTCCTGGACTTACCCTGCAGCTGGGAGAATCGCAGGGCCGCAGCGTTGAGAGCCTCTACCCGCTCGCTCTGGGCCGCGATGTCCCCCTCCAACAGCCCGTGCTTCTGTAACAGGTCGTCCGCCTCCACCAGGTGCTGTCCACACTCCCGGGACAGTAGCTGAGCCTGTAGATCAGGAAGCACAAAGCATGTGGAATTGTGGGCCGGGGGGGGGGGGGGGGGGGGGAGGACACTCATCTATCCCGTCTCATCCCCTCCCCCATACCAGCCCTCTGCCACAGGATATCATGGTTGGAACTCTGATCTCTGCCTGAGTGGACTTTGTTTCTGACTCTCCCTGGGTGTGTTTCTCCCTCACCTCTGTTTCTGGCCCCCCATCTCGGTGGGATCCCCTCTCTGCCTTCATCTCATAACTCCTCACCTCTACTCCTGCTCCGTTGTCGTCTTCTCTTTCTCCTTCCATCCCTTCTGTCTGTCTCCATCTATCGTGTGTGTGTGTGTGTGTGTGTGTGTGTGTGTGCATGCACGTGTGCGTGCACACCAATCCTGAGGCTTGAACTCAGGGCCTGGGTGCTGTCCCTGAGGGATTTTTGCTCAAAGCTAGCACTCGACCACTTGAGTCACAGCTCCACTTCTGGCTTTTTGGTGGTTCATTGGAGATAAGAGTGTCAAGGACTTTCCTGCCTGGTTAGCTTTTATCCACAATCCTCAGATTTCAGCCTCCTGACTATCTAGGATGGAAGGCATGAGCCATGAATGCCCAGCTATTCACTTATCTTTAGTTAATGTCTTTTCGTTCCCAAATTGACATTAGCAGCGTGTAATTTTCTGTAGATCTAAAGAGATCAAAGCAAACTTTGTGCTTGTACTCTGGTTCTCTCTGTTGTGTGTGTGTGTGTGTGTGTGTGTGTGTGTGTGTGTTGGTTCTGGGGCTTGAACTTAGACCCTCAACACTGTCCCTTAGCTTTTTTGCTCAAGGCTGGCATTTGAGCCACATCTCTACTTCTAGAGTTTGTTTGTTTGTGATTAATTGGAAATAAGAGTCCTATGAATTTTCCTGCCCAGACTGGCTTTGAACTTCAATCCTCAGATCTCAGCCTCCTGCGTAGCTGCAATTACAAGCATGAGCCACTAGTGCCTGGCTCTCTGTCTCTTAATCTTGGTCCTTCGTCTCTCTCACTCCATCTCTACCTCTTTGACCCCACTGTCCTCCACACCCACCACTGGCCTCCAGTCCCTCCTCTGGTCCCCACCTGCATCTCCTCCATCCAGTCCACCATGTAGACCATCTCCTGGAAGACCTTTTGCAGAGCCAGGTTCTGCTCCAGGCGAGTCCGCCGGGCACCCACCAGCCCAGTCAGCAGAGCCCACTGGCGTAAGACACTGTCCCGTTGAGCCGCCACACGCCGGGCATCGTAATAGCCTTCGGTGGCCAATGCCTGAGCCAGTTCGGCCACTCCCTGCACCCGCTCCTCATAGGCTGCGATGTCTGCCTCGATTGCCTCGTGCTTCTTCATGGCTGCTTCCACGGCTGGCAGCTCGTACCCAAAGTTGTCCTGAATAGTGCAGGCCAGATGCTCAGCATGGGGCCTCCCCAGTCCAGCTGTTACCTTGGGCCCTGATTACTCCCCCCCCCTCCCCATCACCCTAGATACCAGGTACTCCCCACTTTCTACTTATCCTGCCTGCCAATACCACCATCCTCTGTTGCCCTGGAGACCAGCCCCATCTTTCCCAGTTACCATGGAAACCAGCCCCACCATCTTCAGCTCCCCTGGAAGTCAGCCCTACCTTCCTCCTGTTACCTTGGCAACCAGCCCCGCCTTTCAATTACCTTAAGAATCAGCTCTAGTTTCCTGTTACCTTGAAGACCAGCCCCATCCTGTCCACCTACCTTGGAACTGAGCCCTAACCTCCTCCATGATGCTGGAGACCAATCTCTCCCTCCCCTCTGCTGCATCTCTAACCCCTCAGCTTGTCACCCAGGAAGCAGACCCCATCTTCCCATTGTCCTCGAGTCTGGTTTACTCTTCCGTTACTTAGGAGCCCAATTCTATCCTGCTGAGTTCCCACACCAGTTACAACGCTATTTCCAAAGAAATAAATTCTTTCCTCTTTAGTTTCCTGGGGACCATGCTCCCTCTTCTGTTCACCTGGAGTTCAGCTCCACTCTCTCTCTCTTTTTTGGGGGGAGGGGGTTGCCAGTCCTGGAGTTTGAACTCAGGTCCCAGGCACTGTCCCTTGGCTTTTTCACTCACGGCCATTGCTCTACCACTTGAGCCACAGCACCATGGTCTTTTCTGCCCTAGCTGGCTTTGAACTACGATCCTCAGATGTCAGCCTCCTGAGTAGCTAGGGTGACAGGTGTGAGCCACTGGCACCCGGCTTCCTCTCATCTCTTAAGACACCTTTCTTGCCATCATTTGTCAACCTAGGAGGTGAGTTCAACCTTTCCCCATTGCTAAGGCAATCAAGGTTCCCTTGATCTCAAGGCCATGTGTCCTACGTTCCCTCCCTTCCCATGGAGCCCAGCTCCACCTTGTACCTGGGAGACCAGACGCTGGTTCTCATTCAGCCAGCTCTCTCTCATGGCCACCTTGTGGTCGAACCTCTGGGCCAGCAGTTCTAGCTTCTCCTGCCGGATCAGCTCAGCCCGTAAGGCAGCCTCCCGCTCATGCTCTGCCTTCTCCAACTGACCCCAGGCCTGAGGAAGACAAAACACAGTCAGATTTCAACAGTATCTCCCACTTTACTTTTGTGCCAGTCCTAGGGCTTGAACTCGGGGCCTGGGTGCTGTTTTTTAGCTTTTTCTACTCAGGGCTGGTGCTCAACTACTTGAGCCACAGCTCCATTTCTGGTTTGGAGGTGGTTCATTGGACATAAGAGTCTCACAGATTTTTCTTCCCCGGGATGGTTTCAAACCACGATCCTCAGATCTCAGCGTCCTGAGTAGATGGAATTACAGGCCAGAGTCATCAGCACCCAGCTTATCTCCCACTTTAATGACCCTGTTGGAGACCATTTCTGTCAGAGATAAGACCTTAATGCAAATTAGGGGGGAAAAAAGTGTAAGCAAGCATCAATGGCTCATATCTGTAACCCTAGCTACTTAGGAGGCTGAGATCTGAGGATCACAGATGGAAGCCAGGCTGGGTAGAAAAGTCCTTGAGACTCTTATCGCCATTTAACCAGTAAAAAAAAAAAAAAAAAAAAAGCCGGAAGTGGCCAGGTGCTGGTGGCTCACATCTGTAATCCTAGCTACTCAAGAGGCCGAGATCTGAGAATCACAGTTCAAAGCCAGCCTGGGCAGGAAAGTTCCTGAGACTCTTGTCTCCAATAAACTACAGAAAGCTGGAAGTGGTGCTGTGGCTCAAATGGTAGAGCGTAGACCTGAAGACCTGAGGGACACCATCCAGGCCCAGAGTTCAAGCCCCATGACCCAACAAAACAAAACAAAAAAAAGTTTCCTTATAACTCCTGAGAAACTATCTAATAACCTAATAAGCATCTGACTCATAATGTCTACAATGTGTTCTCTCGAACAGTGCACAACAACAACTTCATTTGTCCTTTACACCCCCAGCCTTACCTTGTCAACATCCCAGATGCCACAGCCCTCCCGAGGCACAAAGAGGCGACGGTTGCACGCACGCAATTTACTCTGGATGCTGAAGAGAAGCACCTCCAAATTCCCCTTCTCCTGAAACCTTGAAGGGGCATGAACTCAGGGGGTGTTGTTCCATGCCTCCATCTCCAACCCCTCTCCCTTCCTCCTGAGCTGGGGGTCTCACTTGACAGGCTTTTCCAGTGTGCAGTAGGCCGTGAAAGCCTGAAGCTGCTGCTGCACCCCGCTCAGGGAGTTGGCAAACTTCTGGTTGCTGATAAGACCTATGGTGCGATGAATCCAGGCCAGCAATTCGGCTGCCAGCTCCTCATAGCGCTCTATGATTTTTCCCACCTCCAACACCTGATCCAGGACCTGAGCCAGTAAAGGAAGGTGGACTTAGTGTCATTGGCTCCTAGCCCCAGCCACTCCCCAGGCCCACTCCTCTGCTCCTCCTAACCTTCCCAATCCGCTTGCCCTCTACCGCCAGGGCCTTCATCTTGGAGAAGTAGTGGTAGAAAGACACCACATATGTGATGATTGACTTCTCATCCGGAGCTTCCATGTTCACATCTGGGGGGGAAGAGGAAGGGGAAGTGGGGGGGGGGGCGGGGAGGGAAGAAAGGGCACATGATGGAGACTTCAGTAGCTGTGACCTTCAGTGACATGGCCTGTCCCTTGGTTTTGTATCTGTCCCCTGGGGGAACCCACCTCATGAAGTTAAATTGTGCCTGACACATAGAAACCATGATGAGATTAGTCTATACCTCATGCCCGTGGCTCACGTCTGTCATCCTAGATACTCAGGTGGCTGAGATCTGAGGATTGTAGTTCAGAGCAGTCCAGGCAGGAAAATCTTTGAACCCCTTATTTGTTTGTTTGTTGGTTTATTTGGAGAGAGAGAGGGGTGGGGAGAGAGAGAGAGAGAGAGAGAGAGCCCTAGGGCTTGAACTCACAGCCTGGATGCTGTCTTTGAGCTATTTTGCTCAGGGCTGGTGCTCTACCACTTAAGCCACAGCTCTACTTCCCGTTTTGGAGGTTTCACTGAACTTTCCTGCCTAGGCTGGCTTTTGAACTGTAATCTTCAGATCTCAGTCTCCTGAGTAGTTAGGATTACAGGCGTGAGCCACTGGCACCCAGCTTCTGAGACTCTTACTGCTAATGAACCAGCAAAAGCCATAAGTGGAGCTGTGGCTCAAGTGGTAGAGTGCTAGCCTTGAGTGAAAAAGCTATGGGACAGTACCTACTGGCACACACACACACACACACACACACACACATACACACACACACACATACACACACACACATCAGATCGGAGATACCGGAGAAGGGGGTGGGAGGGCTAAGAGGAGGGTGTGGGAAGGGAAATCGAGGGGGAGGCAGGGCTGGGATACAGGTGGGATTTTGAACTGAGTCTGGGCTGTGGCAGTGCTAGAAGGGATGGAATCTGAGAAGGAACTGATCTTGGCCATTCCCCCTCCCCAGGGAGGAAATCAGGGCTAGGGACACCCAGGGCTGACCTTCAGGGTCCAGCAAACGTGCCAGCCCCAGATGCTGCTCAGCTGTGCGGAAGGCTCTCTGCAAGTTGTAGTTGGCGTTGGACTTGGTGAGTTTGCCGAAATCCACAAGATCGGGCCTGGGTATGGGGCATAGAGCAGGCAGTCAGCAGGCAGGCTCCCAGGGATAGCCTCATCCGAGTCCCACCCAGAGCAAGGGGCCCCTACAAAGCCAAGGGGTGCTGGTGTGGGGCTGAGCTGTGTGTATCTGTGCTGTGAACAGCCTTAGGAGTGTACATGGTATGTGCATTTGTTGCTGGGCACCTGTAAATCAGTCTACATGCCAATATGTGGGTTTGCCAATCTGTGGAAGAAATGTTTGTTTTTTTGTGTGTGTGTTGGTGTTTTTGGTCATGGGGCTTGAACTCTGAGCTTGGGCATTGTCCCTGCACTCTTCAGCTTAAGGCAAGCACTACCACTTGAGCCACAGCACCACTTCCAGTTTTCTGAGTGGTTTATTGGAGATAAGAGTCTCATGGACGTTCCTGCCTGGGCTGGCTTTGAACCATGATCCTCAGATCTCAGCCTCCTGAGTAGCTAGGATGACAGGCATGAGCCACCAGCACCTGGCTTGTGGAAGAAATGTTTGTGTGAGTCTTTGTGGGATGATCCTAACTCATGCCTATAATCCCAGCTACTCAGCAGGCTGAAATATAAGGATCATCTTTTGAAGCCAGCTTGCATAAGAACGTCTGTGAGATTCTTATCTCCAGTGAACCACCAAAAAACTGAAAGTGGAACTGTGGCCTGACAGCATGTGGCCCAAATGGTATAGTTCTTGCCTAGCAAGTGTTGAGTTTAAACCCAGTACTGCCAACTCCTCCCAAAAGTTTTTTATGTGGGTGTGCCTGCCTGAAAAATATGAAGGGCAGATGTGGAAAGGGAAATGAATGTGTATGTGTGTGTTGGAATAAAGGAATGGAAGCTGTGGAGGTGTGGCGGTCTGTACACACACACACACACACACACACACACACACAGGTGTAAATGCAGAGGCACAGGGCAGGAGGTGGATCAGAGCTGGGCTGTCCCCGAGCAGGTGGTACCTGTGCCGATGGATGAGGGCGTTGAAGGCCAGGCCATCCCGCCAGCTGGTGGTGAAATTCTGTATGTTCACCTCTGGGTAACTAGCAGTGGGGAGGGAGAGGCAGAGGCAGAGGTGGGCAGAGTCAGGATGGAATACAGGAAGGGAAGACATAAAAGATGGATGTCCAGTAGGGGTAGGGAAATGTACCAATGAATGGGTGGATAGACAGACAGATGGATAGAGATAGATAGGCAGATAGATAATGGGTAGATGAATATTTAAGATAGAAAGTAGATAGATGATTGATAGATAGATAGATAGATAGACAGACAGATAGATATTAGAATTGATCGATCGGTCAAGTGAGCCAGGGAGATGAAGAAATACAAGAGAGGACAAGGAAAGAGGCAAAGGAAAGAAAGGAGAGAAGAAAGAGGAAAGAGAGAGATAGAAATGGGGTGGAGGGAGACAGAAAAAAAAACAACAAAGAGACAGGAGGACAGAGGGACCGGACAGACAGAGGGACAGGAAGGCAGAGAGAAAGTAGGGCAGGTGTGAGGTCAGTCCAGGGACCAGCAGACATAGAGGTAAAGACACACATGGAGTCACAGACCTCACTGCAAGGCATAGACAGCCCCAGAATGGCGTCACCAAGAAGCCCACCCTCCTTGCCATCTGTCCCTTCTGCTTTCCTGGGTGTGCTGGAGTTCTAGGCCATGCTCCTTTCACAAGGCAGAGAGCTGGGCCGCCAACATAACACACCCACTAGAGCCCATGTCTACCTTCATCATCTCAACTACACAGAAGGTGCCCAGGACCCTTAATTACATTCCCTGGATTGCTGGAGACCAGGCAAGTACCCTGCTAAAGAGAGGGGTGGCTGCCAAGAGTTAGAGTGGCCAGAGCTAGGACATGGGCTGGGGAACCTCCTGATGTATAGGGCGGGATGGGGAAGGGGGCAGGGGAACAGCCACCACTTCCCTAGCACTGGGACCTCCCCCTCCCCCCCCCCACCACATTTGAACTTGGCCTTCAAGTGGACATGTTTTATTTACCAATTTGTTAGCTCCGGCTGGCTCTTCCTTAAGCTCTTGTCCCAGTAGGAACCCCAAAGGCTAGGGGCCCACCTGTCTGTGAGGAGGGGGCGCTCACCCAGCTGTTTTCATCTGGCACCATAGAAGCAGAGCATCCTTGGCTGAGCGCGTCTCTCTGTTGTCCTCCGTCTCGATTTTGATGACTTGAATCTGGGAAGATGCAAAGAAAGGTTTGAGTGCCAGGCACCGGTGGCCGAACTTGGAATCCTAACTACTCAGGAGGCTGAGATCTGAGGATCAAGGTACAAAGCCAGCAAACCCAAGCAGACAAATCTGTGAGATTCTTATCTCCAATTAGCTAGCAAAAAAAAAAAAGCTGGATATGGAGCTGTGGCTCAAGTGATAGAGCACCAGCCTTGAGTGAAAGCTAAAGGACAGTCCCCAGACCTTGAGTTCAAGCCATAGTACTGGCACACACACACACACACACACAGAATAAACAATATAGACATGATCATAATGAGTTGACAATTAGTTTCTCCTTATTTCCCTTCCCACCACCTAGGGAACGGATGGTGGACGTCCTCCCGAGGACCCATGGGGAAGGGGAGAGCTGATCAGGGGTCCCTCGGTGATCACCTGGAAGCGCAGGATGATGGTCCAGACCAACCCCAGCGTCAGCCGGTGGTTCCCGTCCACGATGTCGTGCGATCCCACGTTTTCCAAGTGCACGCGCTGCTCCTTGAGGAACTGCAGGGCCTTGTCCACGTTCTCCAGTGAGTGGATCCGCATGCGGCCCCGCGTGGGCCTCGGCTAGGGCAGCGGGAGGGTGGGAGAGGGGCAGTGGGCAAGGTGCCCTCGGCCACGCCCTCGCGTAGCCACGCCCCTGCCTCCAAGACCAGACCACGCCCCTTCAGTCCTATCTAGATTCAAAACCCACCCAGGTCTGAAGAAAGAAGTCCTTCCTTGTAGATCCCTTCCAGAGTCACACTGCAAGGGCTTCTCAACTTTCTGATCTCACCCTTATTCACTGATGCCCCACCTCCTCCCTGAAAGCCCCGCCCCTCCACTTGAAGCCCTGCCCCTTCATTGGGTCTGCCCACGCTCATCATGAAGCCCCGCCCCTTCCATTGGGTCTCTGCCCTCACCCCAAGACCCCTCCCCTTCATTAAGTCTTATCTTCCAACGTAGAATCCACTGATTCCTTGCAACAGAATTCTTTCTGGCTTTTTTACAGCCAGGCTCCTTTCTAGCTCACAACCTGGCTGTCCTTTTATAACAAAGCCCCGCCCCTTCCTGGGAGCCACGCCCCCTGCAGTGAAGCCACGCCCCCTCCAATAGTTCCTCTGCAATCTAGGCACCCCAACTCCTCACTACCAAGCTTCATCCCTGTGCCAGGGCTCCACCCATTCAAACCAAGGCGCTTTGTACTCACAGGGCATTTGTGGGGTGCCCTACCCAACCTTTAACTAGGCTCCCCACCCCCTGCTTGGAATCCAGCCCTTCCAGCCATGCCCAACCCCCAGGATCACCCCCTTTCTCCAGTCCATCTGGCCCCCTTACCAGCGGCTCCCCAGACAGCACTTCCAGGAGCCTGGTGAGCACGAAGCCGTCCCGCAGGTCGGTGTAGAGGTCCCCGATGTGGCAGCCCACGCGGGCGAGGTGGGAGTTCACCCACTTGGTGAAGGTTTTCTTCTGCACGGCCTCCCGTTCATCTGGGGAAGGGGCCTCATGAATCCTACCTCCGCGAAGCCTTGGGGGCCCTTTCCAGCTCCTCTCCAGCCCTGCACCACCCAGCTGAACCCTGCTCAGGCCTAGGTCTTGGCAGCTCCTCCCACCAGGGATGCTGTGCCTGGTGACAAGGTTGCTTTCTTTTATGAAGTTATCCTGAAATATTTGTGTTTGTTTGGTGCAGGTCCTGGGGTTTGAACTCAGAGCCTGGATGCTGTCCCTGACTAGCTCAAGGCTAGCTCTCTACTCCTTGAGCTACAGCTCCGTTTTATGGCTTTTTGGTGGTTCATTGGAGATAAGAGTTTCACAGACTTTCCTGCCCAGGCTGGCTTTGAACTGAGATCCTCAGATTTCAACTTCCTGAATAACTAGGATGACTGGCATGAGCCACCAGCACAGATGTTCCTGAAATATCTTTTCCTGTTTGCTAGCCTATTTGGAACTGTTCATTCATTTGTGCAACAGGTGCTCACTCCATTCTTGGAACTGTATTTACAGAATGCAGGTTAGTGGGGACACAGGCAATATGGTGAGTGAACACTTAAGGAGGAGATTGTCAGGATGACAGGTGTAGCTCAGGAATTCCTCTGGTTGCAGAGTGGAGAAGAGACAGGAAGGCCTTCTCTGTCTAGAGCAACAGGATTGGACAAGCTGACTCTACATTTCCTGCCTCCCAAGGGTACCAGAAGGTACATGAGAAGGTAGCAGAAGAAAGCAGAAAATTTGTTTCATTTGGCTACAGAGAAATTGATCAGGAGCCTTCTTCCTAGCTGCTTTAATATTAGTACTACTATTATTACATCTCCAGTAAAAGATATAAATTACATAGTATCAAATTTACTTCTTTCTTTCTCTCTCTCTTTCTTTCTTTCTTTCTGCCAGTCCTGTGGTTTGAACTCAAAGCCTGGGCATTATCCCCGAGTTTGTTTTGCTCAAGGCTAGTGCTCACCAATTGAGCCACAGCTCCACTACAGGCTTCTTTGTACTTTACTGATGATAGGATTCTTACCAACTTTCCTGCCCTGGATGGCTTTGAACCTTGATTCTTAAATCCCAGCCTCCTGAGTAATTAGGATTACAGGTATGAGCCACCAGCATCCAGCTTTGTTTTTTTTTTTTAACTTTTATTTATTTTTTGTTGATTGTGGGGCCTGAACTTGGGGCCTGAGTGCTGTCCCTGATCTCTTTTGCTCAAGGCTAGTGCTCTAACACTTTGAGCCACAATGCCACTTTTGGTTTTTCTGGTGGATCATTGGAGATTCCTGCCCAGGCCTGGCTTCAAGCTGCAATCCTTAAATCTCAGACTTCTGAGTAGCAGTATTATTATTATTATTATTTATTGTGGTGGTAGGTTGTTTGTTTGTTGTTGTTGTTTGTCAGTCGTGGGGCCTGAACTCTGTGCCTGGGCACTGTCCCTCAGCTCTTCAGCTTAAGGCTAGCACCCTACCACTTTGAACCACAGCACCACTTCCAGCTTTTTCTGCTATGTGGTGCTGAGGAATCGAACCCAGGGCCTCATGCATGCAAGGCAAGCACTCTACCACTGAGCCATCTTCCCAGCCCCGGTGGTGGTTTTTTAATGCTGGTACTGTGATTTGAATACATGAGGGCCTTATGGTCTAAGGTCAGACTGGTACTCTACCAGTTGAGCCACATCCACTTCTTTTTTTTTTCTTTTTTTGCCAGTCCTGAGGCTTGAACTCAGTCCGAGCCCTATTATGCTAGTTTTGTTTTTGTTTTTAATAAGGCACTTGAACATTCTCAGACTTTGATACTTTGATATCTTAAGGTCCTGGATCCAATCCACTCAAACACCAGGAAAGATCCACAGTTGTAAGATCACATCACAGTTCCTTTTTTTTTTTTTTTGTCAATTGTGGGGCTTGAACTCTGGCCCTGGATACTGTCCCTCCGCTCTTCAGCTCAAGATTCGCACTCTATCACTTGAGCTACAGTGCTACTTTTGGCTTTTCTGTTATGTGATACTAAGAAATCGAACCTAGGGCTTCACACATACTAGGCAAGCACTCTACCACAAAGGCACATTCCTAGCCCCAGATTTCCTTATTTCTAATCTGCAACACTAACAGTTCAAAATGATGTCTTAAGGATCTATGTATATTAGAGTTTAGTCTTTCACAGCTTTGCAATCCTTGGAGCCAGGGATCAAAGTTTCTTCTTTTTTTTTTTTTTTTGGTCGGCCGTGGGGCTTGAACTCTGGGCCTGGGCGCTGTCCCTCAGCTCTTCAGCTCAAGGCGAGCGCTCTACCACTTGAGCTACAGCGCCACTTCCGGTTTTCTGTTGGTTTATTGGAGATAGGAGTCTCACGGTCTCTCCTGCCGGGGCTGGCTTTGAACCACGATCCTCAGATCTCAGCCTCCTGAGTAGCTAGGATTATAGGCGTGAGCCACCAGCGCCCAGCCAGGGATCAAAGTTTCTAAGGCTTGCACTGGACCTGGGTGGCTGACACCTGTCATCCTGGCAACTCAGGAGGCTGAGATCAGAGGACCTTGGTTTGATACCAGCCTAGGCAGGAAAGTTCATGAGACTCTTAACTTTTTCTTTTTCTTTTTTTTTTTTGGTTGGTTGTTGGGAGCTGTCCCTGAGCTCTTCAGCTGAAGGCAAGCACTCTACCACTTGAGCCAAAGCACTACTTCCGGTTTTCTGGTGGTTTGGAGATAAGAGTCTCATGGACTTTCCTGCCCAGGCTGGCTTTGAGCCCTGATCCTTAGATCTTAGCCTCCTGAGTGGCTAGGATTACAGGTGGAGCCACAGGTGCCCAGCTCTTTTCTTTTCTTTTCTTGGTCATGGTCATGGGTGCTGTCTCTGAGCTCTTTTGCTCAAGACTATTGCTCTACCACTTTGAGCTACAGCTCCACTTCCAGTTTTTTGGTGATTAATTGGAGGAAAGGGTCTCATGAACTTTCCTGCCCAGGCTGGTTTTGAACCAACATCCTCAGATCTCAGATCCACCTGAGTAGCTAGGATTACAGGCAGGGAACATCAGTGCCTGCTAGATCCTTATCTTTTAGCCAACAAAAAGTCAGAAGTGGAGCTGTGACTCAAATGGTCGGGTGCCAGCCTTGCTAAAAAAGCTAAGGGCGGGGCTGGGATGGTGGCTCAGTGGTAGAGCGCTTGCCTTGCATGCATGAGGCCCTGGATTCGATTCCTAAACACCACATAAGCAGAAAAAGCCGGAAGTGGAGCTGTAGCTCAAATGAAGAGCTGAGGGACAGCACCCAGGCCCAGAGTTCAGGCCCCATGACCAACAAAAAAAAAGCTAAGGGAGTACTAGAAACCTTGAGTTCAAGCCACACACACACACACACACACATTTCTAAGGCTTGTGACTGTAAAGTTATATATTTGCAATTATTTTCATTTTATGAGCCAGGAATAGTGCTTTGCCTCTATAATCCCAGCCGTCCAGGGAGCTCAGGCAAAAGGGTCTCAAGTTTGCAACCAGGCTGGGCTACACAAGGAGTTGAAACTACCTTAGCTACTGAGGGAGAGCTGGCTTCTAAGGTGGGGCTGGCCCATGCTCAGCTCTGCGCTGAGCTCCACGTGGTTACATAAATTAAAAGTAATTAAAACACTAAGATGTAAAGTAGTCCCTCAAGTGTGGCACTAACCACAGTTCAAGTGCTCTAGAGCCATATATACTCATGGTCATTGTTCCAACCACCACAGATCCAGGCTTCCCTCACAATGGAAACAATGGAAAGTTCTGTTGGGCAAAGCTCATTTACTTTCCTCCTTACTCCCAGCTAGCAAGGTTCTTAGGCAGTAATGCGTCTAAGGCTCCCCCAAGATCCCCTCCCACTTCCCTCTTCTCCCCTCTCTGTCCTCCCAACCACCCCCCCCCCCATCCCACACTCTCAGCCCTCTTCCACAGACCTGCCAAGGCCTTGATCCTAGAGCACTCAAAGAGTGAAGCGGCTGCTGTGGAGGTGGCCATTGGCTCCCGGTCCCAGCCTCTATCTGGACTCTCCCAGCGGGCTGCAGGGTTGTTGTTGTTGGGGGCAGGCAAGCCCTCCATGTTGTCCAGTTCCCCTGGAACCTGTGCCATTGGGGAAGATAAGGCCTGGGGTGGGGGAGAGGGATGGGAAAAGGTAGGTTAGGGCTGGAACCACAGTCTGAGCTCAGATTCCCCCCCCCCCATGACTGGTTTTGAGTCCAGTAGTCTTTGTCCCTGAGAGAGGGTGACAACAATGTCCATCCTGACTACTTTCAAAAGACTATGTGAATGTCACATGACTTAGTGGCACGCACCAGAAAAACCACTCCGCAACCTGTCCCTGTTATTATTATTATTAAACAATAACATTAAGAACAGAACTCAAAGTAAAATAACACTAATGAGGGGCTGGGAAGGTGGCTCAGTGGTACAGCGCTTGCCTTGCATGCATGAGGCCCTGGGTTCGATTCCTCAGCACCACATAAACAGGAAAAAAAAAGCCGCAAGTGGTGCTGTGGCTCAAGTGATAGAGTGCTAGCCTTGAGCTGAAGAGCTGAGGGACAGCGCCTAGGCCCTGAGTTCAGGCCCCATGACTGGACCCAAAATAAATAAATAAATAATAACACTAATGACCAGGGAGAAAAGACCATCAGATTCTTGTCTCCAATTAATCAAGAAAAAGCCAGAAGTAGATTCAAGCAGCAGATTGCTTGGAGAAAACAAGCCATGCAAAAGTGTCTATAAGAGCCAGGTGCCCATGGCTCACACTTGTCATCCTAGCTACTCAGGAGGCGGAGAGCTGAGGATTGCAGTTCAAAGCCAGCCCAGGAGACTTTTATCTCCAATGAGCCACCAGAAAACCAGAAGGAGCTGTGGCTCAAAGTGGTAGAGCACTAGCCTTGAGCAAAAGAGGTCAGGGATAGTGCCCTGGCCCTGAGTTCAAACCCCATAAACACACACACACTCTCTCTCTCTCTCTCTCTCACACACACATACACACACACACACAAAGACCCAGACAGTTGCAATCCACTGGATTGTAGCCCAGAGTGGAGTTAATTATCTCCTTTCGAGGACACACCAAAATCCATTGCTATTCTTTGCTTCTCTGGAAAGCTGTTAAGCAAGTCTATGACCACCTGTGTGACCTGGGCCAAATCACGTCCCCTCTCTGATCTTCAGTTGGTTCCTTTGTTAGAGTCCAGGAGGTGACACGAGTGAATAAAGCAAGGGATTGTGGTATCTGGCACACGGCAGGCTCTCAATACGATTTCTTATTTAGTGTGTGCCTGTGTGTGCCGGTACTGGGGCTTGAACTCAGGGCCTGAGCACTGTCCCTGAGCTTTTCTTTTCACTCCAGCCTGGCGCTCCACCCCTTGAACCACAGCTCCACTTCCCTGCTTGTATTCTTTCTGCATCTTTCAGCCGCTATCTTCCACTTGGCCTCTCGGAGCCTCAGTTTCCTTCCCTGTGAAGTAGGGCTCAAAGCTCTATACAGTACTTGGCGAGTTGGGTCGCACACAGCCGGGGAGCTGCAGTGGCCTTAGGTGAAGCAGGGAGAGGAGAAGGCGATGGGAGGGGAGGGGTGGCGGGGTCCTGGCCGGGCCGCAGAGCCGGGCCGCGGTGGGATGGGTAATGCCAGGCGTTTCCGAGCGGCAATGCCTCCCTGTGTCCCCGCAGGACCGGTCATCCTGGGGAGGAGGGGGCCGGGGAAGGACAAGGCCTGCGGGCAGACCTGGCTCCGAGGACGGACCAGATCGGGGGGTCGGGGGCTCGTGTTGCTCTGATCCACCCCCCCACCCCCAGCCTCCATTCAGCTCTGGGAGATCCGCGTTGGGATGCGGGAGGCAGGGGCTCAGGCCGGGGCGCAGGGGAGGATGCTGCGGGAGGGGCCCGGGCCGCACCGCCGCTCACCTGGGCCCGCGGCCGCACGCCGGGGCTGCCTTCCCCGCCGATCGCCGTCGCCGCGCCCGGCAGCTCTCCTCCCCGTCGCCGGTGTCCGCGGCCCGGCCCGGCCCCGGCTCGGTTCGGCCCCGCCGGTCCCCAGCTCGGCCAGATCCGCATGCGCCGCCGCCGCCGCCGCCGCCGCCTCCTCCGCCTCCCCCAGCCTGGGCGCCTCCCCCACGAGCGCGGCCGCCGCCGCCGAGCGGAGCGCGCCCCCGGGACCCCGCGCGCCACCCCGGACCCCGGGACCCCGCGACCCCCGCCCCGAACCCCGGGACCCCGCGCGCCACCCCGGACCCCGGGACCCCGCGCCCCCGCCCCGGACCCCGGGACCCCGCGCGCCACCCCGGACCCCGGACCCCGGGACCCCGCGCCCCACCCCGGACCTCCGGACCCTGCGCACCACCCCGGACCCCGGGACCCCGCGCCCCCGCCCCAGACCCCGGGACCCCGCGCGCCACCCCGGACCCCGGGACCCCGCGCCCCCGTCCCGGACCCCGGGACCCCGCGCGCCACCTCGGACCCCGGGACCCCGCGCCCCCGCCCCAGACCCCGGGACCCCGCGTCCCCGCCCCAGACCCCGGGACCCCGCGCCCCCGCCCAGGACCCCGGGACCCTGCGCGCCCGCCCCGGACCCCAGGATCCCGCGCCCCACCCAGTACCCCCGGGACCCCGCGCGCCACCCCGGGACCCCGCGCCCCACCCCGGGCCCCGGGACCCCGGGACCCCGCGCCCCCGCCCCGGACCCCGGGACCCCGCGCCCCCGCCCCGGACCCCGGGGCCCCCGCGCGCCACCCCGGACCCCGGGACCCCGCGCCCCACGCCCGGGACCCCGGGATCCTGCGCCCTCACCCCCACCGCACGCTGCGTGCGCTCCGCTGGAGAGGGGGCACAGCACAGTCACACAGTATCACACACTGACACCCCACACTGACACACACCTCACACTGACACCCCCACACGGACACACTCACACACTAACACATACACTGACACCCGACACTATCACACACTGATACCCCCACAGTGACACACCCGGACACACACACTGACAGACACACTGACACCCCCCACACTGACACACACTCACACTGACACACACTGACACACTGACAACCTCACACTGCACACACAGATACACACAATGACACCCCCACACTGACACACACTGACACCCTACAGTGACACACGGACACACACACTGACAGACACACTGACACCCCCACACTGACACACACACTGACACACACTGACACACTGACAACCACACTGCACACACTTACACACACACAATGACACCCCCACACTGACACACACTGACATCCCCACACTGACACACTCAGAACACACACAGACACTGAAACCCACCCACGCTGACACAGACACCTCACATTGACACACTCAGACACACACTGACAGCCACACACTGACACCCACTGACACCCCACATTGACACACACACACACTGATACCCACACACGAACACATTGGCACTCCCACACTGACAACCCTACAGACACAACACACACAGATGCACACTGTCACACATTGACACCCCCACTGACACATATGCAGACACACATTGACATTGTCACATACTGACACACAGACACACACACACTTACACACTGGTACCCCCACACTGACACCCTCCACGGACATACACACAGACACCCCCACATTGACAACCCCACTAACACACACTCACAAACACACATTGACACTGCCCACACTGACACACTAACATTCCCACACTGACACATACACATTGACACATTTACCTTGACATACATTGTTGCACACACCTACACTGACACACACAGACGCATATCCCACACTGACACCACCCACACTGACACACATGGACATACATATGGACACATCCCACACTGACCCACACTGACACACTAACATTCCCACACTGATACATACACATTGACACGCTGACACTGGTTGTTGCACACACCCACACTGACACCCACAGAACATACCACACACTGACACACACATTGAAATCTCCCACACAGACACCCCCACAAACACTGACACTGACACACAGACACATCCCACACTGATACACACACTAACATTCCCACACTGACACATGCACACACACATTGCCCACACCCCCACTGACACACACATTCCCACGCTGACATTCACTGACACACACACACACACTGGGTCACCACAACATCACAAGCACATTCTCCATATCTGTGTCACTCCCTGTGTGAGATCACTCTGGGTCAGACCTTCAAACTGTCACACCCAGTTATCCCACACAAGAAGAGAGTGTCTGTCCCATGTGACATGTTCAAATAGGACACTATCACCATCAACAACAATGTGGTGTTGTACACCATCACCCATCTTCACCAGCTCATAGTTGCCTTCATGTTTACACACTCAAGCTTGTCACACCAGCCACCTGTGCTGGTGGCTCTCACACCTGTCATCCTAATTACTCAGGAGGCTGAGTAACCCCAACCCCAATCCCGGGGAAGAAAGTCCATAAGACTCTTATCTCCAATGTACCAGCAAAAAATCCAGAAGAGGGCTGGGAAGGTGGCTCAGTGGTAGAGTGCTTGCTTAGCATGCATGAAGCCCTGGGTTCCATTCCTCAGTACCACATAACAGAAAAAGCCAGAAATGGTGCTATGGTTCAAATGGTAGAGTGCTAGCTAGCCTTGAGCAAAAGAAGCTCAGGGATAGTGCCCAGGCCCTGAGTTCAAGCCTCAGGACTGGCAGAAAAAAAATCTAGAAGAGGAGCTGTGGCTCAAGTGGTAGAGTACCAGCCTTGGGTGAAGAAAAAACAAAACAACAAAAACTGAGGGACAGCTCCCAGACCCTGAGTTCCACCCCCAATGCCAGCACAAAAATAAGTAAGTAAAATTCAAGCTTGTGATCTGGGCGCTGGTGGCTCAACGCCTGTAATCCTATTCACTCAGGAGGCTGAGATCTGAGGATCATGGTTCAAAGCCAACCCAGGCAGGAAAGTCCATGAGACTCTTATCTCCAATAAACTACCAGAAAACTGGAAGTGGTGCTGTGGCTCAAGTGGTAGAGTGCTCGCCTTGAGCTGAAGAGCTCCGGGGGGCAGCACCCAGGCCCAGAGTTCAAGCCCCACGACCAATATTTTAAAAAATAATAATAATTCAAGCTTGTCACACCAAACACCCAGGCACAAGGGGACACACTCAGACATCAATCACATGGTCACCACCATTAGTAACACCCCCAGAGACACCGACTATGGGGCTCTGGGCTCACACATCCTTCCATGACAAATGTGGCGTCCCAGTAACAATCGAATAATCCCCAATCGAATAATGCCACACTCCTGTGCTGTCACACAGGCTGACACTCGCTGTCACAGTGTCACCCAAGGTCACCAAAGAACACATGGAGTGCCTCCCACACGTGGGATCACACGCCTTCACACACACACGGGACGGCACCCACAAGCACGGTCACACAAGTGCATAGTCACACCGTTACAGTGGCACACCCCCGCCGCCCCCTGTCCTTTGGCCCTTAGCTTGTCTGGTAAAGCTCTAAGCGGAACAGAGTCCCACCTCCGACCCCAGATGCTGGGAAGACCGGGCGAAAGGGAGCAGAGGCAGTGGGCGTGACTCCCGCCCAGCCTGGCTTTCTCTGATTGGCTGGAGCGTGGAGGCGGGATGATGAGTGACAAGCTCCCTTGATTCCTCCTACTCGCGTCCTTCCCAGATGGGGGCGGGGCCTTCAAGTGTAAGCGTGAGAGAGGGTGGCGCTAGACAGTGAGGAAATGAAAACGGACTCCTGCCCCGCCCAGTCGAGGGGGCGTGGTTTCATGACCACGCCCACGGACTTGTAAACCAGGGGCGGGCCTGGGGCGTGGCTCTTTAAACTAGCTCCGCCCCGTCCCTCCAACTAAAGAAGGGCGGAGAACCCTGCCAGCGGCCATTGAGTTCCCGCGCGTCCCGAGCCTCTGGCCTGCAGACCCTTGGACCCCCTGGCATCATGACTGTCAAGAAGATCGCAATCTTCGGTGCCACTGGAAAGACCGGACTCACCACCATGGCGCAGGCGGTGCAAGCAGGCATGAGCAGGGGTCATTGTTGGTGGGATGGGGGCGGTGCACGTGGCAGAGCATTAAGAAGGGGTGTCAGGGCTGGGAAGGTGGCTCAGTGCTAGAGCGCTTGCCTTGCATGCATGAGGCCCTGGGTTCGATTCTTCAGCACCACATAAGTAGAAAAAGCCGGAAGTGGCGCTGTGGCTCAAGTGGTAGAGGGCTAACCTTGAGCTGAAGAGTTCAGGGACAGTGCTCAGGCCCAGAGTTCGGGCCCACAACCGACCAAAAAAAAAAAAAAAAGGGGGGTGTCATAGGACCAGGCGGGGGCTGGATGGAGCCCTCAGTGTCCCAGTCAGGTGCGTGAAGAGTCAGCTAGCAAAGGAAGAAGACCACGGGGCCAATGAATGCAGGGAGGCCAGGAGATTTCGTTTTATGTGAGTCTAAGGCACAAAAAACTGAAATCAGCCCATGAGGGCCTGGGGGACTCCAGTGACACAGCAGTGGGTAAATCCAGGGCTCTTGTGCAATTCACCGTGATTGTAGTGGTGACTGTGGGTACACCCAGAGAGAATTTACCCAGCCAGCGTCTGCCTGCCATCCAGCAGTGCTTTCTGTCCACTTGTGTTATAACCTGACAGCCCTCATCTGGGGAGAGTGATAGTATTAGGGCAACTTGATAGAGGAGACCATTGAGGCCCAGAGAATGATTCGCCCAATATGACACAGGAGTGGTAGTGCTAAGGTTTAAACTCAATTCCTCTGTGTGTGTGTGTGTGTGTGTGTGTGTGTGTGTGTGCACGCACCAGTACTGTGACTTGAACTCAGAAGCCTAGGTGTTGTCCTTTAGCTTTCTCCCTCAAGACTGGCACTCTACCACTGAAGCCACAGCCCCAACGTCTGGCAGCTTCAAATCATAGTCCTCAGATCTCAGCCTCCTGAGTAGCTAGGGTTACGAGTGTGCCAGGTCCTGCTCTTAAGCACAAAATAAATTTGCTGATTTTTGACTTGGATACCACAAAAAGAACATTGAAAAAGTTACAGGAAAAGTTGTTGTGAACACCTGCTCTAATCCTAGAAATGTCAGTGAGGGCTGAAAATTCTGGTTACACCAGGAGAGGGTGCAGGATTATCTGTTACCTCTTGCACCTCATTCTAGAGTTTACCAGTGACCAGCAGGGCCTGGGACTTCCAGATATGGGGCTCCACCCCAGTAAGCCTCAGGGACCCTGAAGATAAAATATCTGTGTGCCCCAAAAGGAGTGGAGATCTTCAGTATCCAGAATTTGCTGTTTTCAGCCAATGTCTCCCCGCCCCCATTTCTCTCTCTCTGTAAACTGGGGTTTGAACTCAAGGCCTTGGCACTGTCCCTTAGCTTTGAGCCATGATCCTCAGATCTCAGCTTCCTAAGTAGCTAGGATGACAGGCATGAGCCACCACTGCCCAGCACTTTTTTTGGGGGGGGGGGAGACAGTTTGGAAGTCTGATCTCACACTCACAATCCTCCATCGCAACCTCACAACGGCTGGGATTGCATAGGAGCCCTACCATGCCCTGCTGCTAGGGAGAGGGGACTCTTTTCTCCACTACTAGGCAGGTTGTCCACTGCTCCTAGGGCCTTGTGTGAGGATCTTGGATTTGAGGAAGTAGTTGAGCCCAGGGCTCAATTAAATTTTAATTTGCTGATAAGCGTTTCTAGGGACTGGATGGGAAGGAAGAGGGAGAAGTTGGAACATGCTGAGTCATCCTAAATATCTGGTTTTTGTGTGTGTGTGTGTGTGACTACTTTCACCTTAATCCCTAAATCCATAGGTTTCACTTACATGCCTGCTGGTCCCAGGGCTGACCCAAGTGGATTGTGGGCTAAGGAGGTGGGGAACATAGGGGTGCTCTGCCTTTTCTGAGAACTCTGCAAGTTCTCCCTTGTTCCTATCAGAAATAGGAAGGGCTAGCCTGGCGCCGATGGCTCACGCCTGTAATCCTAGCTACTCAGGAGGCTGAGATCTGAGGATCAAGGTTCAAAGCCAGCCCCAGCAAGAAAGTCTGTGAAATTCTTATCTCTAATAAACCACCAGAAAACAGGAAGTGTTACCTAGCTCAAGTGGTAGAGCGCTAGCCTTGAGCTGAAGAGCTGAGGGACAGCGCTCAGGCCCAGCATTCAAACCCCATGACCGACAAAAAAAAAGGAAATAAGAAGGGTTTGGATCAATTGGGGCTTATTTATCTCCTTGTGATTCTGTTAACCAAGAGGTCTGTTGGACTACTGGTGCCCACGCCTGTAATCCCAGGTACTGGTGTCCATGCCTGTAATCTTAGCTACTCAGGAGGCTAGAATATGAAGATCATGATTCAAAGCCACTCTGGGCAGGAAAGTCTGAGAGATTTTTTTGGGGGGGGTCTGGTCATGGCGCCTGAACTCTGGGCCTGGGCGCTGGCCCTCAGCTCTTCAACTCAAGGCTAGCGCTCTACCACTTGAGCCACAGCGCCACTTCCGGCTTTTTTCTTTTTGCTTATGTGGTGCTGAGGAATCAAACCCAGGGCCTTAGGCATGCAAGGAAAGCACTCTACCACTGAGCCTCCTTCCCAGCCCTGAGAGATTCTTTATCTCCAATGAACCAGCAAAAAATCAGAAGCAGAGCTGTGGCTCAAGTGGTAGATCGCTGGCCTTGAGTGAAAGAACTCAGGGACAGCACCCAGCCTCTGACTCTGAGTTCAAGCCCCAGGATGGGCACAAAAGAAAAAGAGTGCTTGCTTACCTGACATGGATAGAACCCAGGGTCTGGGTTCTATTCCATCACTACAAGAAGTAAAAAAGCCAAAAACAAACAAAAAGCACCCAGTTCACTCCTGAGAAGAGTGAAGCAGAGCCCTTGTCATGTTGGAAATTCTCTGTGTGTCCATTGCCTCTCATTATTACGTAACATCAACTCGGAGTCAAAGCCAGGGCTGAGTTGAGAACTGTTTGGGCTGCCATAACAAATACTATCCACTAGATGGCTTATCAACGACAGAAATGTATTTTAGCTAATCCTGCACTAGTTGCTCCTGCCTGTCATCCTAGCTACTCAGGAGGTTGAGATCTAAGGATCTTGGTTCAAAGCCAGCCCAGCAGGAAACTGTGAGCTCATCTCTAATTCACCACCAAAAGGGTGGAAGTGGAGGTGTGGCTGAAGCCTTCAACAATAACAACAAAATAAAAAACAAAACTGATAGCTTAGATACCTCTCAGCCTCCTGATGAGCCTCGATTACAGATGTGAGCCATCAACACCAGGCCTGTGTCCTTCCTTCCTTCCTTCCTTCCTTCCTTTCTTCCTTCCTTCTTTCCTTTCTTTTTTTTTCTCTTTTTTGGTTGTGGAGCTTGAACTCTGGGCCTGGCTACTCTATCACTTGAGCCACTGCATCACCCCCAGTTTTCTGGTGGTTAACTGGAGATAAGAGTCTCATGGACTTTCCTGTCTGGGCTGGCTTTGAACTGCTATCCTCAGATCTCGCCTCCTGAGTAGCTAGGATTACAGGCATGAGCCACTGGTGCCCAGCTCTTTCTTTCTTTATTGTTGGTTGTAGGGCTTGAACTTAGGGCTTGGGTGCTGTCCCTGAGCTCTTTCCCTCAACACTAGTGCTCCACCACTTTGAGCCACAGCTACACTTCCAGTTTTCTGGTGGTTCATTGGAGATAAGAGTCTCACAGACTTTCCTGCCCAGGCTGGCTTGGAACCACAATCCTCAGATCTCAGCTTCCTGAGTAGCTAGGATGACAGGCAGGAGCCACTAGTGCCCAGTGTTTTTTTGCGTGTCTTTTTTCTGTTGTTTTTTTAAAGAAGAGTGATCACAGAGAGTGAGCACAGGAGAGGCAGCTGAGGCCCAGTGGAGGAAGGCATTGTATGAATTTCTTTAGGCAATCAGTAACCAAGCCAGTGTGTAAACTCAGATTCTTGAGGTCTAGAGTTCGAGGTCTGCCTGGGCTATCTCAAAACAAACAAAACAACAAAGCAAAACAAAAACAGGTCCACGGGGCATTCAAACCTGAGTTTTCACGTTTGTATGGGGTCAGGGAGACGGCAGTGACAAATGACTCAGCCCTGTACTTGCAGAGGGCTCTTGTTTTTCTCCTGTCAGCAGGAGCACGGTGACAGAGGAAGTACAAATGGCTGGGGGACCTGGGGAAAGAAGGTGAAGGGTGATCCAGACAGAGGCAAAGCACATGCAAAGGCCAGGGGGCAGGGAACATCATGTGTGTTTGAGGAACAGAAGGAGTGCAGTGTCTGGATAGACCAGGCCAGGTCCTGAGGGGTCCTGGAAGAGACAGTACTGAGGAGAGCAGGCTGTGTATCAAGGCTTGGCGGGGGGAGCGGGTCCCTAGGAGAATCTGATCAAGGAGACACTTAGACATAACTGGAAAGATCTGTCTGGAAAGCTAGGAGCAGGTAGAACACTATGAAGCCCAGGCTTGTCCTTTTGCCTCTGCCTTTCAGGTTCTGGGATTACAGGCATGAAGTGCCATGCCCTGGCTGCTTTTTCTTTTTTCTTTTTTTTTTTTTTGGGAGGGGGGGCCAGTCGTGGGGCCTGAACTCTGGGCCTGGGCGCTGTCCCTCAGCTCTTCAGCTCAAGACTAGCACTCTACTACTTGAGCCACACCACCACTTCCGGTTTTTTTCTTTTTGCTTATGTGGTGCTGAGGAATCGAACCCAGGGCCTCATGCATGCAAGGCAAGCGCTCTACCACTGAGCCACCTTCCCAGCCCCTGCTCTTTTTTTTTTTTCTTGTAACTGTTCTATTGAGCTATAATTCACTTACTATAGAACTCTTCCATTTAAAATGCACAATTCTCCAGGCAACAATGGCTCACGCCTGTAATCTTAGCTAGTTAGGAGGCTGAGGTCTGAGGATCACAGTTCAAAACTAACTCAGACAGGAAAGTCAAGGCTCAAGTTGTAGAACATCAGCCTTGAGCTAAAAAGCTCTGGGACAGTGCCCAGGCCTTTAGTTCAAGCCCCAGGACCAACAAAAAACAAAAACAATTAAATGGCTCTCAATATATTCACAGTTCTGCAAATGATATCATAATCAATTTAGAATATTTTCATCATCCTAGAAAGAAACTCCTAGAAGTCCTCTCCTTTCTCACTGCCTCCACCCACCGACTCACTGTTTTCTGCCTTAACCTTACCCCAGCCTGAGGCAACCACTTATCCACTTCCTGTGTCTGTGGATTTACCTGCTCTGACCACGGTCTTGGAGTCCAGCACTGGTGGCTCACGCCTGTAATCTTACCTACTTTGGAGACTGGGACCAGAGAATCGTAGTTTAAAGCTAACACAGCCAGAAAGGTCTATGAGGCTCTTATCTCCATTTAAGAAGAAAAAAGTCAGAAGTAGAATTGTGGCTCAAGTGGTGGAACAAGAGAGAGAGAGAGAGTGTGTGCTGGTGGCTCACACCTGTAATCCTAAACTACTCAGGAGGCTGAGATCTGAGGATCATGGTTCAATGCCAGCCTAAGCAGCAAAGTCCATGAGAGCCTTTTTCTTTTTTTTTTTGTCAGTAGTGGGGCCTGAACTCTGGGCCTGAGCACTGTCCCTCAGCTGTTCACGTCAAGGCTAGTGCCCTACCACTTGAGCCACACCGCCACTTTGGGCTTTTTCTGCTTATGTGGTGCTGAGGAATCAAACCTAGGACCTCATGTATGCAAGGCAAGCACTCTACCACTGAGCCACCTTCCCAACCCCAAGAGTCTTATCTCAAATGTGGAATTGTGGCTCAAGTGGTAGGGGAAAAGAAAGAAAAGAGAGAGGGGGGGAGGAGGGAAGAAAGGAAAGAAGGAAGGAAGGGAGGGAGGGAGGGATGGAGGAAGGAAGGAGGGGGCGGTACTGTTGGCTCATGCCTGTAATCTAGTTCCTCAGGAGGCTGAAATCTGAGGATCATAGTTAGAAGCCAGCTCAGGCAGGAAAGTGCCAATTAAACATCAGAAAACTGGAAGTGGAGCTGTGGCTCAAGGGGTAGAGTGCTAGCCTTGAGGAAAAGAGCACATGGATAGTACCCATGCCCTGAGTTCTAGCCCCACAACCAACAAAAAGAGAGGGGGCGGCGGGAAATGATTACAAACCAGTACCTTTCAAACCAGTATCTCAGTGCTGGGAATGTGACTTAGTGGTAGAGTGCTTGCCTAGCATGCATGAAGCCCTGGGTTCAATTCCTCAGCACTAAGTAAACAGAAAAGGCCAGAAGTGGCATTGTGGCTCAAGTGGTAGAGTGTTAGCCTTGAGCAAAAGAAGCTCAAGGACAGTGCCCAGCCCTGAGTTCAAGCCTCAGGACTGGCAGAAAACAACAACAACAAAAGTCCTATACCAGTGAACCAGTGTCTCAGCCTAGTGGATGTGGGCAATGGATTTGGGGGCTTATGGCACCATCCAGACTCCGAGTGCTCTCCCACAAATCCGCTGACCTCCCTTTTCACTTCTGGTTGACCACAGGTTATGAAGTCACTGTGCTGGTGCGGGACGCATCCAGGCTGCCGTCTGAGGGGCCCCAGCCGGCCCACGTGGTCGTGGGTGACGTTCTACAGGCCGCCGATGTGGACAAGACGGTGGCGGGACAGGAAGCCATCATTATCCTCCTGGGCACTGGCACTGACCTCAGTACTGAGCCCCCCCTGTGCCCACGGCCCACCCCTGCACCGCGGCCCCCAGCACCAGTCCCACCCCCAGCCCCTCCCCTGCCACCCCTGCCACCGCCGCCACCACCCAGCAGTGACAGCCACTCTCTGTCCCCTCTAAGGTCCCACGACTGTGATGTCCCAGGGCACCCGGAATATAGTGGCGGCCATGAAGGCGCACGGAGTGGACAAGGTCGTGGCGTGCACCTCGGGTGGGTGGTGGGTCCTGGAGGTGGGGCTGAGTCGGGGGGTTCAAACCGCGCTGGTGAGCCAGGGCTCTCGCATTTCCAGCATCTGTTGAGCACCAAGTGTGTGCCTTGACCTGTGTGCTGGCTGACTCAAGGGACAAACTGTTGGCCAGTTGAATGTGCTTGACAGAGCTCACAGAGGGGTTCCAAGTGGTGACCCCATTATGGATGGATGTCCATTATACCATCAGATGTCTTGAGGGGCTGGGATCTAGCCAAGGCCCAAGTGCTTGCCTGGCATGCATAAGGCCCTGGGATCCATTCCCAGCACTGAAAGGAAAGAAAGAGAAAAGGAAAAAAAAAAAAGCTTGAGCCAGGCGCCAGTGGCTCATGCCTCTAATCCTACCTACTCAAGAGGCTGAGATCTGCAGATCGCAGTTGGAAGCCATCTTGGACAGGAAAGTCTGTGAGATTCTTATTTCCAGAGAACTACCCAGAAGCCAGAAGTGGCGTTGTGGCTCTAGGGGCAGGGTGCTAGCCTTGAGAGCAAAAGCTCGAGAATAGCACCCAGGCCCTGAGTTCAAGTTCCACCACACACACACACACACACACACACACACACACACTGCTCTGAAGGGAGGCTGCAGGTGGCTAACAAGAGTTACAGGCAATCAGTGTAGCAGCATTTATTGAATCCCTTGTCTGAGCCTCTCAGGGAACTTACAGAGTTCCTTTGTGTGTAAGATTCTCCCAGGAAGGAAGCAGCAAACCCAATGGCTGGCTCCCAGCTGGGTTCACTGCATCTCAGCTGACACTGCGGCAGTTGGCAGGTACACCAGACTCTCTCCATAGCTGTCATTATACACGTCATCCTTAGGTGCCTCCCTTGTGAGGGAGCAGCTGGATTGTATTGTTGGAAAGCTGCCAGATAGTGATAAGGGGTCTGAGGCAGCAAGTACAGCATGTGCAAAGGCCCAGAGGCCTTTGAGTAAAGTCATCTCTGTTGCTCTTTGTGTGTGTGTGTGTGTGTGTGTGTGTGTGTGTGTGTGTGTACCGGTACGGGGGCTTGAACTCAATGCCTGGGCACTGCACTTTCAGCTTTTTGGTGGTTAATTGGAGATAAGAGTGGCAAAAACTTTCCTGCCTCAGCTGGCTTTGAACCTCTATCTTCAGATCCTTGAATCCTGGGCTGGGAAGGTGGCTCAGTGGTAGAGCGCTTGCCTTGCATGCATGAGGTCCTGGGTTGGATTCCTCAGCACCACATAAGCAAAAAGAAAAAAAAGCCGGAAGTGGCGTTGTGACTCAAGTGGTAGAGTGCTAGCCTTGAGCTGAAGAGCTGAGGGACAGCACCCAGGCCCAGAGTTCAGGCCCCACAACCAGACCCAAAAAACAAAACAAAAACAAAAACAGATCCTTGTCTCCTGAGTAGCTAGGATTACAGGTGTGAGCCACCAGACTCATTTACCTCAAACTTTGAAGGGGAAATGGAACCCAAATATGTAAATGGGGTGGGGGAAGGAAGTGTGTTGGAAGAAGACATGATGTGGATGTGTAGCCCAGGCCACCCTTAAACTTAGGATCCTCCTGCCTCAGCCTCCTGAATGCCTGCCTCACCAGGCCAAGTTTTTTTGTTTTTCTGGTTTTTTTTTTTTCCCCCTCTTTTGGTGCTGGTACTGAACTCAGGGACTCATGATCTCATTGGGCTTTTTCTTTTTTTTTTTTTTTTTGGGGGGGGGTCCAGTTGTGGGGCCTGAACTCTGGGCCTGGGCGCTGTCCCTCAGCTCTTCAGCTCAAGGCTAGCGCTCTACCACTTGAGCCACAGCACCACTTCCGGCTTTTTTCTTATGCGGTGCTGAGGAATCGAACCCAGGGCCTCAAGCATGCAAGGCAAGTGCTCTACCACTGAGCCACCTTCCCAGCCCTCGTTGGGCTTTTTCATACAAAGCTGGCACTCAGCCATTTGCACTGTGTCTTCACTTCCAGCTTTTTCTGATTAATTGGAGCTAAGTGTCTCACAGATTTTCCTGCCTGGGCTGGCTTGGAACTTCGATCCTCAGATCTCAGCCATCTGAGTAGTTAGAATTAACAGGCGTGAGCCACTAGCACTCAGCTGCTGAAAGATTCTGTCCTTACTGTAAAGACAAGACAGCTCTGGCTGACCTGCTCCATATATTCCCTCCCACCCTTGCAGCTTTTCTGTTATGGGACCCTGCTAAGGTGCCCCCACGCCTGCAGGACGTGACCAATGACCACATCCGGATGCACAAAGTTCTGCAGGAGTCTGGCTTGAAGTATGTGGCTGTTATGCCTCCACATATAGGTAAGTTGTCACCAGCCTGTTCCACCACACCTTCCAGAGGTATCTATAGGGATTCTTCTCATTATTCTAAAAGTAAAAATTGAGCTGGGTTAGGTGACACAAGCCTGTCATCTCAGCAGTTGAGGCTAATTCATTAATTGAGATGGAGAGTCTCAAGGACTTTCCTGCCTGCCTGCCTAGACAGGCTGTGAACCCAGATCCTTGGATCTCAGCCTCCTGAGGAACTAAAAGGGTAGGTGTGAACCACACCAACACCCAGCTTTTTTTTTTTTTTTTTTTGATGGTTTTGTTGTTGGTTGTTTGTCTTAACAAATTCTGATGACACATTTTCAACCCTGAGTTCAAGTGCCAGTACTGGCACACACATACACAGTAGGAAAAATGGGGGAGGGGAGGAGAAAGAAAGGACATCAAGGGGCTGGGAAGGTGGCTCAGTGGTAGAGCACTTGCCTTGCATGCTCGAGGCCCTGGGTTCGATTCCTCAGCACCACATAAGAAAAAAGCCGGAAGTGGCGCTGTGGCTCAAGTGGTAGAGTGCTAGCCTTGAGCTGAAGAGCTGAGGGACAGTGCCCAGGCCCAGAGTTCAGGCCCCATGACTGGACCCAAAAAAAAAAAAAAAAAGGACATCAAGTTCACCCTGCCTTTCTTTACTTCTCAGGGGACCAGCCACTCACTGGGGCCTACACTGTGACTCTGGATGGACGGGGGCCTTCGAGGGTCATCTCTAAGCATGACCTGGGTCACTTCATGCTGCGCTGTCTCACCACGGATGAGTACAATGGGCACTGTACTTACCCATCCCATCAGTACGACTAAGACCTTGCCCCTGCCTAGAAGGCTGGGATTCTGGGAAATGAGCCCTGAGGAACGACTGATAAGTAAATCTTGAGCCAAGAGCTTCAATTTATTCCAGAAGACTCAACTCTGACTCTGACTCTTCTCTCAGCTTATCTCTTTGTTCACTTATACTTTTCTCAAGTTTTTTGTTTTGTTTTAAATTTTGGTTACCGGGGCTTGAATTCAGGGTCTGAGCATTGTCCTTGAGCTTTCTTTTGCTCAAGGCTGATGATCTACTACTTAGGCCACAGCTCTACTTCTGTCTTTCTGAAGGTTAGTTGGAGATAAGAATTTTCTGGCTTGGGGGCTGGGAAGGTGGCTCAGTGGTAGAGTGCTTACCTGGCATTCCTGAGGCCCTGGGTTTGATTCCCCAGCACCACAGAAGCAAAAAGAAAAAAGCTGGAAGTAGCGCTGTGGCTCAAGTGGTAGAGCGCTAGCCTTGAGTTGAAGAGCTGAGGGACAGCGCCCAGGCCCAGAGTTCAGGCCCCATGACCGGACCCCCCCCCCCCCAAAAAAAAAAAAAGAATCTTCTGGCTTTTCCTGTCCTGGGCTGGCTTGGAACATGTGATCCTCAGCCTTGTAAATAGATAGGATCACAGAGGAGATCTTTAGAGCCACCTGCTCCTGGCTCACTTTTTGCTGGTTAATTGAAACTAGAAATCTGGGAATCCTAATGTCTGCCCAGGCTGGTTTTGAACCGGGATATTCAGATCTCAGTCTCTGGAATAGCCAGGATTATAGCCAGGAAACAAAGTGAATTTTATAGTGCCAGGCGTCTCTGGCCAGATCCTGAAAGGCTTCCAGGGGAAAGTAAGAAGTTTGAGCCAAGGGTAGTGGTGCTACTATAATCCTAGCACTCAGGGGTGGAGTTAGGAAAATAGAAGGGCCAGCCCTTTGAAACAGTCCGTTTCAAAAACAAACAAACAAACAAAGGCTTTGAACTTTATTTCCAGAGTGGTGGGGAGTCATGAAAACTTTCCAGCTGCAGAGTGGCTATCCGGGAGGGACCACCAGAAAACGCGCAGAGAAACCACCAACCAACCTTAAAACAGGGTTCCTACTTCGGGTGCACAGAGCCTAAGAGGGGCGGGGCTGAGGTCGCCAAGCAACAGAGGCCGCGCCATACTATTGGCTGGTATTTAGTGCGTCATCACCTTCCGCTCCCAAGCGCCCGCCTCGGGAAACCCGGGGGCGTGGCCTGCTCCGGCTGCTTAGCCCCGCCCTGCTGTGAAGCCGGCGGGGGGGGGGGGGGGGAGACGCCGAGTGGGGGTGGGGAGTGCCACCCTTCCTTCTTTCAGATGAGGTTCAGCCCAAGAAGAGAGAGAGCGAGAACTCTATGTGGCAGGAATCTTAGCCGAATAAAAAAAGAGATTCTGTGTGTGTGTGTGTGTGTGTGTGTGTGTGTGTGTGTGTGTGTGTGTGTGTGTCCGTGTGTCCGTCGTGGGCTTGAAGTTAGAGCCTGGGACGCCTTCCCTGAGCTTTTCGCTGAAGGCTAGAACTCTACCGATAGAGCCACCGCTTCACTTCCGGCTTTTGGATGGTTCTTTGGGCTGGCTTCAGAACCACGATCGCCAGATCCTGAGTAGCGAGGTTTACAGGCAGGAGCCACCAGCGCCCGGCAGAAGAAAAAAAAACGTTCTGATGGCCTCGCCATCCTCCAGCCCAGAGACTTAACCCGGCCCCTGACAAGTCAAAAATCCTTTAAATGGTCCCGGGCGTTAGGGAGGGGCAGGCAGGGAGGGCGGTGCCGGGCGGCGGGCGGCGGCTCCGCCCAGCCAATCGTCGCCCTGCCCTGGGCAGAATTCCAGCCAATCGCAGGTGGCGGTCCAGCTCCGGGGCGGGGCTGGATGGGTCCAGGCCGAGACTCGGAGGCCCAAGGAAGGTGAGCGAGGATTCTACTCGGCTCTGTTCGGACGCTCGTCTGGCCGGCGTCCCTGGAGGTGGTGGTTGCGAACCTGGAGGCTGTGGTGAGGAGTGGGATTTACCTGTGGTTGGGGGCGGGAAGGGACGGGCGAAGGAGGAGTCTGAGCCGGAGTAGAGGGCGCTCCTTATTAAGCTTGAGTGATGCGGTTTTGAGGGCTAAGGACCGGTGGAGACTTGAGTTCGAGATCCCAGAAGGGAGGCAAGGAAAGGTTTTTGAACTGGAGGAAGTTTAGAGTTGCGCTTTGGCGAGGGGAGCGGGTTTGGATACGAGAGCGAATCAGAGGAAGAAACTTTTGGAGAGCAAAGAATTTAATGGGACAGTTCGGCTCTTCTCGGGACGGCCTGGATTGGGAACTTCGTGATGGTTCTGGGAAAACTGTAAGAGGTTTAAGGCTGGGGTTTCGAGCATTTCTAGACAATCCCGAGACTTGTGGAATCCCCAGACTCTTCACCAGACGCCGTGGCAGGGAGTGTATGCCGGGGAAGAGTTCAGTGTTGGAGGGTCTCAGCTGCCGGACGTGGCACTTGGAGGTGAAATCTAGGGGTGTCGTGTAGTCGGAGAATAGGAAAATAGTCGGAGGATAGGGGTTGGGGGGAAAATCTCAGAATTGAGATACTAAGTCTTCCCCCTACAAAAGCATTTGTATCAGAAAGCTTGGAACAAACTGAGGAGAGCCCGGGTTTCTAGACTCCACCGCCGTTTGGGGAAGAATCCTGGACCTTGGGGCGATTGTAGAGACGGGGTGAAAGCAGTCTTAGAGCTGGAGTCGGGTGGGGGATGGGTGTTCCGGGCGTGGAGCTCAGACCCACAGCCCCGGAGGCAATAGAGGGCGGGGCTCGGCTGGCGCCCGGCAGCTGGACGTCCGGGTTCCCCTCCCCCCACCAGCCAGGAGCCTAGTGCGCCTGCTCTGCGGTGGGGGCGGGGGAACTCCGTCCCCTTGAAGAGCAAAGCCCCCTGGGAATTGTAGTACCCGTTCACGTCACTGTGCGTGCCGAGCTACTGTGGGTCCACATTTCCCAGAAGCCGCCGGGGCAAGTGGGGGCGGTCCTAGATGCTCAATAGCTATCCGGGGGAGGGCGGGGCCTCTGGGACGCCGAGGTCTGGTTGGGTGATCCGTGAGGGGGCGGAGCTTGGCGCTAGTTGAGATCTAGCAAGCTTTCCTTTGGGGCGCACTTTAGGGAAATCAGAGGCGCTGTTGGAAGGAATGAGGAAGGCGGCTCCTTCCCTGCTCTTGGGTGCGCTCCCAGTCAGTTGAGACCAAGAACAAGACAGCAGGGCAACGGTGCCTCAAGCCTTTAATAGTAGCTACTCAGGAGGCTGACATCTGAGGATCGCAGTTCAAAACCAGCCCTGGCAGGAAAGTATGTGAGACTTCTGATCTCAATTAACCACCAAAAAGTCTCAAGTGGAGCTGTATCTCAAGTGTTAGAGCACTAGCCTTGAGCAAAAAAGCTCAGAGATAGTGCCCAGGCCCTGAGTTTAAGTCCCAAGACTGGTGCACGCGCGCGCGCGCGCGCACACACACACACACACACACACACACAGAGAGACAAAATCACTTGCAGCTCTACAGGCCTGCCTGAGAAATGCGATTTCAGGCCACTATTATGCCTTATTTGTCATTTGTCTCTCCACAGGGCATCATGGTGGGAGGCTTGAAGAGGAAACACTCGGACTTAGATGAGGAAGAGGAGGAAAAGAAATGGGACTGCAGCCCAGCACGCCTTCAGAGCTATCACCAGGCCTTGCTCCGAATCTCCTTAGACAAAGTCCAGCAAAGCCTGGGTCCCCGAGCTCCCAGCCTCCGTAGGCATGTCCTCATCCACAACACCCTGCAACAGCTCCAGGCTGCCATTCATCTGTCCCCAGCTCCGGCCCTACCCCCTGAGCCCCTCTTTCTGGGCGAAGAAGATTTCTCCCTTTCCACCACCATTGGCTCCATCCTCAGGGAGCTGGAGACCTCCATGGAGACAGAATCACCTCAGATTCCAGTGGCTGCCCCAGGCCTTCAAAATGAAGGGCTGGCCCAGCCTGGGCCAGTCTTCTTAGAAGCTTTGAGCTCTAAGTACCTGGGGGACTCTGGCCTGGATGATTTCTTCATGGACATTGACACATCTGGAGTGGAAAAGGAACCTGCACTGGCTGCCCCAGAACCTTCACACAACCTCTTCTGTGCCCCTGGGTCCTGGGAGTGGAATGAACTAGACCACATTATGGAAATCATTCTGGGGTCCTAAAACCCATCCACAATCCTTCTTCCAGTCAGCCTTGGTGGGCTGGGTCCCTGGATGTGACTTTGTGTGTATGTGTGTGTCTAGACTCTGAAAAAGAGACTGTGACCTCCTTTCTTCCTGTTTCAGGGTTCCACAAACTGTCCCGCACGTGTGTATGTCTGGTTACCGCAGCCTTCTGTGAAGGTGGCTCTTCCTGAATTAATTTATCTGCTCCAGATGCCTTAACGAGACTCTTGCTTGGAGTCTGCCTTCTCATGACCACATTTCGTCCATGTCCACCTCCCACTCCCCTGGTTGACCACACAGGGGCCTCAGGAAAGATAAACTGGGCCAGTCCAAGAGTGACAGCACTGTGCAGCCAGCTTGTTCTGAGGGAGGAGGAGAGACTGGTCTCCCCCCATCATCTTCCTCCCAGGCTGAACCCCATTTCCTTGGCAGAACCCCGGTTCCAGCAGCCTGATTCATAACCAGGCCGGACCATGTGCAATAATGGATGGAAACCACATTATATTTAAGAAAGGCAGGGTTTGTGGGTTTGGGGATTTTTTTTTTTTATTATTGTAATTTTTTTTTTAAATAAAAGTATTTTGGAGAGAGCTGGTGTTGCTTTCAGTGTGTAAATGTCCCTGGGATGATGGGAGGGATCTAGTAAATTTCTTACCTTTTTCTTTGTCTAAGATGGAGCAGATGTATCATTGTATGGTAAGTGTTTGAGTGCTTGTTAAAAGCACTGTTGTATGCTAGGCACTGGTGGCTCAGGATCTAGGTTCAAAGCCAGCCTAGGCAGGAAAGTCTATGAGACTTTAACTCCAATGAACCACCAGAAAATGGGAAGTGGTGCTGTGGATTAAGTAGTAAGGCAATAGCCTTCAGCCGAACTGAGAGACAGCGCCCAGGCCCAGAGTTTAATTACCTAGGAAATCCTTGAAGTGTGATGATTTGGAGTAATCAGTGGTCCAGCAAGTCTCAGACCCTAAGTTCTTTTTATTTTGTTTATTTTTGGGGGGGAGGGGGCAGTCTGGTCATGGGGCCTGAACTCTGGGCCTGGGTGCTGTCCCTCAGCTCTTCAGCTCAAGGCTAGTGCTCTACCACTTGAGCCACAGCGCCACTTCCGGCTTTTTTCTTTTTGCTTATGTGGTGCTGAGGAATCGAACCCAGGGCCTCATGCATGCAAGGCAAGCGCTCTACCACTGAGCCACCTTCCCAGCCCCAGACCCTAGGTTCTTGTAGCATGCACACAACATTCATTCTGTTTTAAATGAAAGATTATGTGCATGTGCACACATGCATTCCAGTCCTAAGGTTGGATGCTGTCACTTTTTTGTTTGTTTTCCTCAAGGCTAGTGCTCTACCACTGGAGACACAGCTCTACTTCTGGCTTTTTGTTGGTTAATTAGATCAATACAGATGGGCTGGCTTCAAACCACTAGATCCTCAGATCTCAGCCTCCAAAGTAGCTAGGATTGCAGATGTGAGCCACTGCTACTGGGCTGCAAGACAGAAAGAAGAGGCCTCATTGGGATCACTCCCCCCAGTGCAGGGGATCATCGAGGCTCCTGTGGCACCCAGCAAAACGCTGGCTGCAGAAGTGGAAAGGCTGGCCCTGTGGAGGAGGAATGGAGCCCCTGAGGGCAGAGTCCACCTTCCCCAACCCGTCCTCCCCCCGCCGCACTGCGGGGGGGGGGGGGGGGGGGGGGGGTAAAAATGGGCCGAGGTGGCCCTGGGCGGGACAGGGAGGCCTTGCCCCTCCCACCTACCAACCCTCCTCCCTGGCTGGCCAGCCAGCAGGAGACCAGAGAGACGACGGCAGCTGGAGCCGCCTTGGCGCCTCCTCCCTCCCTGGAGGCCGAGGCTGGGCGGGACCAGTGGCTGAGGCTGAGCTCCCCAGGCATCAGCCCTCCCTCCCCCTCCCTCCCCTCCCCCCTCCCCAGGGCTGGTGACTTCCCTTCTGGTTCCATTTCTCAAGTCCTGCTCGCTCGCTCTCTTGCTCGCTCTGGTTCTCTCGCTCTCTCCCTCCCCCCCCCTTCCTCTTTCCTCCCCCTCCCTCTCTCTGATCCCCTTCTATCTCCCCCCTCTCTCTTTTCCCCAACTTCGAATTCCTTGCTCCCGAGTCACCTCCTCGGGAGAAGCTCAGTCTAATCACCCTAGCCAAGGCCCCTCCCCTCACTCCCAGGCCTCTCTTCTCTTTTAGCACTGAACACAAGCAGAAATTCTTTTTTTGTCTTCACTCATCTTCCAGGGACTTTTGCATCACCCAATTAATTCTGCAGGTGGAGAAAGAAGATCCACTAAATGGTCCAAAGGTCCTGATACATTCTTCCATCTCCCAGGCAGCTCCCAATTCAATTAACTTTGCTATCTGACATATAGCACCTCAGGGCCTTTGCACTGGCTGTTCCCAGTAAGAATGCCCAGAGTTTTGCTGCTGCTTGAATTTTGTCATGTCTGCTCAAATGACGCTTCCTCACTTCTCTCCCTCTGTACTTTATTCTCCCTCCCCCTTTTTTTGTCGGTTGTGGGGCTTGAACTCTGGGTGGGCCTGGGCACTGTCCCTCAGCTCTTCAGTTCAAGGCTAGTGCTCTACCACTTGAGCCACAGCGCCACTTCAAGTTTTCTGGTGGTTTATTGGAGATTAAGTCTCACGGACTTTCCTGCCCGGGCTGGCTTTGAGCCATGAACCTCAGATCTCAGCCTCCTTAGTAGCTAGGATTACAGGCATGAGCCACCAGCACCTGCCTGGCCCCTTTTTATTTCTTTTCTTCCTTTGTTTTGTGAAAGTACTGGGGACTGAACTCAAGGTAGGCTTTTCTACCACCAACCCTGTTTTGCTTTAGTTATTTTTCAGATAGGGTCTCCTGTTTTTTGCCCAGATTGATTCAGACAATGATCCTCCTATCAATACTTCCTGCTTAATTGCAATCATATTGGGTGTGATAAGGGTCTCACAATTTTTTTTTGCCTCTGCTGGCCTCAAATGTGGACTGTCCTGATATCTACCTCCTGAACAACTGGAATTACAGATATGAGCCACAATGCTCAAGGATTCTCTCCCCCCCCTCCCCCTGTGTCTCCCTCCCTCATTACTATACTGAGGCTTGAACTCAGTGCTCTGTAACTTAAGCCATGCCTCCAGTTCTGACTTTCTGCCTCTTAAAAAGCCATCAGGGGGCTGGGAAGGTGGCTCAGTGGTAGAGCACTTGCCTTGCATGCCTGAGGCCCTGGGTTTGATTCCTCAGCACCACATAAGCAAAAAGAAAAAAGCTGGAAGTGGTGCTGTGGCTCAAGTGGTAGAGTGCTAGCCTTGAGCTGAAGAGCTGAGGGACAGCGCCCAGGCCCAGAGTTCAGGCCTCACGACCTGACCTCCCCCCCCCCCCAAAAAAAAAAGCCATCAGGCCGGGCGCCGGTGGCTCACACCTGTAGTAATCCTAGCTACTCAGGAGGCTGAGACTTTAGGATCACAGTTCAAAGCCAGCCTGGGCAGAAAAGTCTGTGAGACTCTGATCTCCAATAAACCACTAGAAAACCAGAAGTGGCACTGTGGCTCAAGAGGTAGAGCACTCGCCTTGAGTTGAGGAGCTGAGGGACAGCACCCAGGCTCAGAGTTCAAGCTCCCCCCCCCCCAAAAAAAAGCCATCAGCCCACCAGATGTTGGTAGCTCATGCCAATAATCCTAACTACTCTGTAGGCTGAGATCTGAGGATCATGGTTCAAAGCCAGGGCCGGTAAGGAGGACCATAAGACTCATCTCCAATGACCCACCAAAAGCCAGAAGTGGAGCTGTGGCTCAAGTGGTGGAGGCCAGCTTTGAGCAAAAGAAGCTCAGAAACAGCACCCAGGCATTGAGTCCAAGTCCAAGGACTGGCAAAAAGAAAAAAAGAAAGAAAGAAAAAAGTTAAGTGGAGCATGGGGATGCATACCTGTAATTCCAGCACTGAGAGGCTATAGCAGGAGGATCTTGGGTTCTAAGCCAATCTGGGCTGTACAGTGAGACAAGCAATGCCAAAAAAGGAAGGAAGGAAGAAGGAAAGAAGGAAAGAAAGAAAGAAGAAAAAATGGTCAATGATATTTCTAGGGGTGATGACTGAGGTAAAGCTGAGTGTCAGAGTGGTTGCCTAAAACCCTCAGGTCACTGGCTTCTCTTCCAATACCCCCAAAAGTGAAAGAAAAAAAATAAAGAATATTCACTTATAAACCACAAGTGAAATACTATTTCCCATATTAAGAGAGTGGAGAATTCCACAATATCATCTGCAATGGTTAAAGTTAAGTGCCAATTTGATTGCACTGGAAAGTGCCTAGGAAATTAGTTGAAGCTCACCTTTGGGTGTGTCTGTGAAAGTATTTCCAGAGATGATTAACTCTGGGGGAAGGCTGGCCCTGAATGCTGGTGCCACCATCCCACAGAACTTGGTTGACTGAAGGAAAAGGGTTTACAAAGGAGGACGCTTTCTAGAGTAAAAAGCTAGTACTCTGTTTCTCTTTTTTTCTCCCTCTTCCCCCTCCCTCTTTCTGCTTCCTGGCTGCCAGGAGGTGAGCTGCTGTTATTTCCTCACGACCCCTCCTTCAGGATGGACTGAAAACTCTGAAACTGTTGAGTAAAATAATTCTTCCCATGAAGTTACTTTTCTTAAGATATTTGTAGTGGAGATGGAAGATCTTCCTAATACAGCCCCTACTATCCAGTTCATATGCAAATATCTTTTGTTGCCTTTGAACCCAGGAGATCCTTCCCAGCTTAGAACTACCAGTAGACACTGCTATGCCTAGGTAAAAGTCATTTACAGTTGCTTTCCTTCTATCCCAACTCAAGAACTAACTAAAAGGTTCACCTGCTACTTTGGTTGCAATAAAGAAACTACATAGTATTTTTCAAGGGCTCTCCCCCAATTACCACCCCCCTCCCCCATTGTTTTTCTGTTTTTGTTTTTTTTTCATTTTGTGCTGGTACTGCTGCTTGAATTCGGGGCCTGAGCTCTGTCCCTAAGCCTTTTTGCTCAAGGCTGGTGCTCTACCACTTGAGCAAAGCTCTACTTCTAGCTTTTAGCTAGAAGTTTATTTGGAGATAAGAGTCTTACAGACTTTTCTGCCCATGCTGGCTTCAAACCTCCATCTTCAGATCTCAGTCTCCTGCGTAGCTAGGATTACAAGAATAAGCCACCTATGCCTATCTAGGTGGCACCCATAGGTGACATTGCCTTCCCACCTCACCCTGGGTCTTCAACCACAACTGAATCCAACTGTCCATCATCCGCTGAATCCGGTAGAATGCTCTTACAGACACGATCTGACCTTAACTCTCAAGAAGTAAGCAAGAAGATTCCCATTTAACAGATTTTTGGCGCAGAGTTCAGGCCTTTCTCCACAGGTTAGTGAGTTATAGAGATAGGATTTGAGCCCTAGCGTGTACCCCCTTTGAGGGTCTGGGTACCTAACCCTCTGGGTTTGGATCTGTAGTTTCAAAAGCCAAAAGGCCTCTCCAACCTGCCTCAGTTCCCCTCCCTTCCCGCCTCCCTTCGGGCAAATCACTACTAGCCTTTGCTCCTAGCCTCCAGCAGCCATCTGGGCATGCGCCTTTAAAGCCGACCTCGCCTTTTTA